CTCAGCCTCTGGACTACCTGTGTACCAAATTTCCAGAAGAAATAGCGCGGAACGGCTCCGATCTTTGCTTCCCGAATTTAACACCATTTATACAATAACGCCTGGTTTCTGAAATACTGATCATCGTAGAAATTAACTGTATGTATATTATTAATATGTTATTAATTCAAAGAGTTTAACCATCCTTGTGGCAACTCAAATAAAATTTGACAGCTTATTAGTTAATTTATTGTTAATCTGTTGCCGCTTTAACAACAAATACTAAAAAACAGAATTAAATAATTAAAAAAAAATTAAAAATTAAAGTGGAGCTCCTATACAACAGACATGATTATTATAGATAATGATACGGAAACCTTCATGCGTGACTCCGACTCGCACTTTACCGGTTATCCATTCCACCTGTCCCTTTTTCTCGATTATTAGCGATTAATGTCATTAATAGGATCCCTACAATTACAATTGGCACGCTCGAGGTCGTTACAAGTCAAATTCGACTAAGGAACAATAATATTGAGATTGTTCAAGAGTGGTAGCGCGGTGGTTGTGGGTTGGACTTCCACACGAGACCAGTATTTGTGACCTTACGATGCTGTGTAAATTTATTCCACCTAGCCCTAGTGAGAGATATTAGTTCTATTATGAACTGTTCGTCGTTAAAGCACAACATTTTCATCATGAGCTGTCTTTTCATTCCTTCTTATTATTCATTCTTCATTGAATACTAGCGACCCGCCCCGGCTTCGTACGGGTTTAATGTATTATACATAAAAACCTTCCTCTTTAATCACTCTATCTAGCAAAAAAAACCTCATCAAGATCCGTTGCGTAGTATTAAAGGTCTAAGCACACATAGGGACAGACCGACAGCGGGGCGACTTTGTTTTATACTATGTAGTGAAAAGCAAACGTGTTTATAGTTTGAAAGCCCACAAAGGTACCTATTGTCCTCGTAGCGATTGATGCATCAACTCCTATCTTATTTCAATAGACCTACGGATGCTTACTGGTGCCAATTCCAGCTCGGCCCTGACTGGCCTCTCATTGTTGACCTCAACCTCTCATTGTTCTCGATTCAAATAAAATTTAAATTAAGATACGAAGTACCTACAACAATTATTACAATAAAAATAATGTTATATTCAAGGGTAACAACACAGTTTCATACATTGCACTCAATTGCTCGCCAATATCCACTTGAATATCAAATAAAAAAATACCACTTACCATTATCCACTAGGATGAGTGGTAAGATATATATATATTTAGAACATAGTGGCATAAAATATTTTACAAAAGTTCCTTAGTATTGCCAGTGGTTACTTGGGGAGGACTTAAAAATTGTAATATATACCAAAATAACATTTTTCACAATTTTTGTCTGTTTGTTCCGGCTAATTTCTGATACGGCTGGACCGATTTTGACGGGACTTTCACTGGCAGATAGCTGATGTAATAAGGAGTAACTTAGGCTACTTTTATTTTAGCAATTTTATATATTTAAAATTCAGCGCAGACGAAACCGCGTGCACGGCTAGTTCTCAATATGTACACAGAAATTTATCCAAATCTTAACCAAACCCGCTACCCTCGACATCAATCCATCAACGGTTATCATTCGGAGCTGCGTTACAACATAAATTCCTGGCATTGTAAGCGAGTGCATTGTCCCATAAGGAGTATATCAATGGCGATTGTTTTCAATAATGATACTGTTTACGATGCAAGTTGTCTGGATATCTCGGTTCAAGGACCGACGCCGCCGCCTTTGCCAAAAGTTAAGAGCTTAGCATAGTAAAATGTTCATGGGTACAGAAAAGAAAAGGAAGAAACACACAATACAATGGTGTCTTAAGAGACCTACAATGACAGACAGACTTATCCTACAATCATAAAAAAACTTTACACACATGTTGAAGCAATTAATTTACTTCATCATCATCATCATCATCATTTCAGCCTGTCCGAGTCCACTGCTGGACATAGGCCTCCCCCATAGACTGCCACGAAGTACGATCCTGAGCTACCTGCATCCATCGACTTCCCGCACATTTGCACAGGCCGTCACTCCATCTAGTGGGGGGTCGTCCTACACTGCGATAGAAAGTACGAGACTGACAGTCGTGAACCTTTCCTCCCCAACGGTTTTCGGTTATTTCTCTGCATGATAGAGTTCGTAACGAAGACAGGCGTAGTAGAATCAAGTTAACCGACATAGCTCAAAACATCAGCAAGCTGAAGTGACCATATAGCTCTTGGAACAGTTAATTTACTTTAACAACATATAATTAATTTTAGATAAGATGATGTCATTTTTAGCGCGGTCGATCGCTTTGCTTACCTTAGAATTTGACCAAATTTTTTTTAATGACGAACCTTACTTCTGCTTACAAGTATATACATATTTGTATAAAAATATTAGGTAATTTGCCTTAGTTTATCAGCGAATTATCTAGCAGATCACTCCCTACTTCATAATTTTTTTTTTATCTTTTTCATTTTCCATAAACCACTTGCAGTTTCTATATCTTTCCTTATATTACAATGATTAAATAAATGATTAAATTAGTGTCTAACAGAAAGGTAAGCTACTTTCTTAATAACAATAAATATAATTATCAATTACAATTATTAACCGCTCATAAAACTAATCAAAGATAAAATAAAATCAACAGAATCAAGTCCAAAATTATATGTATACGGTAAATTAAAGTAACACAGATGTAAATTTAAGGAGGCGCATTAACTTGTCCCATAAATGTGTTTGCATGTGACTAAAATATTTAAAACATGAGGGAAGACATGTGGGACTTAACAGTAATTAATGTAATGATAAGAAAACATTAAGCATGTGGCAAACAGATTTTGCAGCCATAATAGGCGAATAGTTAAAGAAAAAAGTGTAACTGGAAAAAGCCCATTTCAATAACACTTGTTAATAACTGATTGGTGCAAACAAGCAACATTCAACTAATATTATTTACAAAATTCTTCCTTTAGAAGACATAGATTTAAGGTAGGTTTTTTTACTATTTTAAATGCAGTAAACTGTTATCATCTACAAAAGAAACTTTATATACCTATTTCATAATTATTTTCTTTATTATTAAAAAGGCACTTTAATACCAACAGTTTTACAAGTTACAAACATTATTCAAATTCATCAAACCAATTGTTACATTGTAAAAATATTAAAGAATTTATATTACTTTTATATGAACATGCCAGCAATATTTTTAACCACAAACAACAAATCATTGATGATCATTAGAAAAAAATTACATAATTTTTTTTTACAATATTAAATACTATGTTCAAAAATTATGGATTAATTTTAGTTACTTGTGTGGTTAAACCAAAAAAGTACCACTAAGTGTTATTACCGTTAATTGCTAAAATAATTCAATTCATTTGCCACTAAATAACTTAAAATATATTATTAAATAACTTTAAATATCTAATAACAATTTAAAAGCCAGATCAATTAATATACCTATTAGAACTATTGAATTTGGAAATGTCTCTTATAAACTGGTAAAATATTTCAATCTGTTAATCATCCATTAGAATGATAAACAATTAATAATATTTTAATTACAATAGATATAAAAAATATCCATCTGTATTGCTTTTTTTACAAAGAAATATATATATTAGTGTTATACACTTTTAACTGTATTAGCCAGTAAAAATATATAATAGTAAAAAATTCAGATGTAGCGAAAATGAACTTGGCAATGTTTACTGCAATAATGTAAGAGAAAAGTTTCAATTATAGCGTATCTTTGTAATGTGACCGTATCAACTTAGCTTTTGTGGCCATACGTGCCGTGTAGCCTATAGCTTTATCAAAAGTGGGACGTCGGACGCCGCGCCCAACGGTGCCTCGCCCGTACCCAGCGCATTCCAATAAGAAAAAAAAAAAAACCTAACGAAATAAACAGATCGCGCGACACACGAGCGTTTAAAGCGATAAAAACAAGATAAGCCGCATTTCATTTATCAATGCATAACAATGTTCGAGCTGAAATACTTAGCGGTATATGCAAATTACAGTTCAAAAGTTAACTAACAAACAAATTGCAAACGCTTCCTGAACTGACCTGGTTATCAACAAGATCCCATAAAGAAGAATTTGAAGCGACGTAGATTGCGAAATCGGCACAACGTCGTGTTTTAGCACGTAAACATGGATTTTAGTTCACAATTACGTTAAAGGTATAACTGATTGATCACATACACTGCGAATCCACCTCTATAACACAACAACAACGACTGATCAGGTTCAAGTTATGAGTTTTTGTGACTAAACCACACAACGGAATATACGGAAATTATTAGTTTCATTCATCGCACGGTGAAATCATTCGAGACGAGTGGCAGTTGCGTTGCCCATTCGACGAAACTACTACAACGCGGGGCGCGGGAGGGAAGCGCTCGCGTCATCCGCCATATTGGTTGATTACGTCATCCCCAAGACAACCAAGAAAATAGCAGGCTTGCCATATAGTATTTTACTAAGGCGCAATTTAAGGAGTATGAAGTATACGGAGTATTATGTCTAAAATATGTCCATAAAATGTATACTTATCAGTTCTAGAAAGAAAATAGTTTTATGTGTGCTCTCTTTTAATTCAATATACTCGCAACTTGAGTTCAAATCCCAGTACAGTGGAGGAAAACATCGTTGGGAAACCCTCATATTTTCGATATAATTTTTTAAAAGTACAATACAGTGTTTTTTTGGGGCTTTTGAATATTGCATTTAGGGTTATTTCGTCATTTTTTACTAGTTGGTAGTACTGCTTCAAGATGACAAAATCAAAAAGTTATTTGTTTTTGTTTGACATTAAACGTCAATCCAATCAGGTACCTGCACTAGTTTTATTGATAGGAAAATTAAGAAAAACAAGAGAAAGAAATAGTCGACTCATTTCTTTTTTTACATTTAAGTTGCATAACATTTTATAAAGTTTTCATTACTTTAAGGATTATTAATCATGCAAGGTAAATTTTGTAACATTTTGTAAGTTAGGTATAGATTAATCCTTTGCTTTTTTTCTGCCTATAATACCTACTTTACTTTACATTGCAGACAACAGACCAGAGCTTTACGAGGAGGTCAAACTGTATAGAAATGCTAGAGAACGTGAAAAGTAAGATTAAATTTCAATTGAGTTATGCTTGTGATAATTGTTTCTTCTCCTAATGTAAAATGACTAAAAATTATTCTAGGCTTGCGATACGATGTTATTTAAAATATATATTTGTTCTATTTCCTCTCCATAAAATTGTATGGTAATTCTTGTTGTCTTAATATTTTATAATTTGTTATTGTCATATAACAAATAATATTAATTTGTCATATAACAGATAATAACTTGTTATAATTCATTATAACTTTCATAAATTGACGTTTTACCTGGACGTTGCCACAATATCGCATTACAAGTCTCTCCTTCTAACAGTATGTTTTATCTCTTTTAAATTAATTCAACCCATTCATATGAAATGTGACCTTAACAAATGAACTTTACATTACAGTTTTATACATAAGGGTGATCTAAAAATGTTTGTTTTGTTAAATTTAATAACTCAGTAAATATTGATGTTTAAAGAATGTAAATGCTTCATACGATTTTTGAAAGTTATCCTCTATATGTGTGTTCTTTTATTGTTGTGGTTGTAACAACACACTGTATAGTACCCGCTGTCCATTGTAGTCTACTAATACAAGTCTTGAATGTGGCAGGCATGATAACATGGCTGAGCTGTATGCAGTGGTCAGCACATTACAACACTTGGAAAAGGCGTACATGCGCGATTGTGTCAGAGCGCAGGAGTACATGGCAGCATGCAGCAGACTGCTGGTTCAGTACCGAGTTGCTTTCAAGCAAGTGCAGGGTGATGAGTTTCCCACTATAGATTCCTTTGTCACAAAATTCCGTGTAAGTGGCCTAGATTTACTAATTTTTATTAGTACTCCAAAGAATCATTTGCATTTCACATAAAATTATTTACCTAGTAGGGATTTACCGCACAACGCACCATTTAATGTAAAACATATCATATGGTTATCGGTTCTACGAGCTATATGGCCGGCCCATCGCCACTTCAGCTTGCTAATCCTCTGAGCTATATCGGTTATCTTAGTTCTACTGCGGATGTCTTCGTTACGAACTCTATCACGCAGAGAAATACCTATCATAGACCGCTCCATAGCTCGCTGAGCGACTTTGAGCTCGCTCATACGGCCAGCAGTGAAGGACCATGTCTCGGTTCCGTAGGTCATCACTGGCAAAACACATTGATTGAAGACTTTAGTCTTCAAACATTGAGGTATATTCGACGAGAAGATTTGCCGCAGTTTCCCGAACGCTGCCCATCCGAGTTGGATTCGCCGATTGACCTCTGCGTCGAAGTTGGACTTACCTAGCCGGACTAACTGTCCTAGGTAAACATACTCGTCAACAACCGATAACCGTTGGGGAAGAAAGGTTCTCGAGTGGCAGCCTCGTACTGGCCATCACAGTGTAAAACGACCCCCCACTAGATGGAGTGACGACCTGTGCAAATGTGCGGGAAGTCGATGGATGCAGGTGGCTCAGGATCGTACTTCATGGCAGTCTGTGGGGAGGCCTATGTTCAGCAGTGGACTCAAACAGGCTGAAATGATGATGATGATATCATATGTCAGTTACAATTCAGATTTAAGGACTTAATATGCAAAAACCATTATAAGCATTCAGATTGTAAATTTTTGTAGAAAAATAGATGCTATACCAACTAAGCTAAGCGGCTAATGAGCTCACCTTGACATCTATGTATGTTTGTTCTATTGAATTTTTAGCAATGCTTGGCAACCACCAACAAGTGTGCATCCTTTACAGCATACAACACCATACAAATAATATTTAACGATGGATATAAGTAACAAGAGAAATAGATTTATATATTTAGAAATAAATTATGTTGAATTCATTTAAGAAATGATTTATCTCAGAATACTAAGCAGATTTAGATAGAAGCTTATGCCTTGTGCACAGGCAATCCTTGTCTGTCTTATTATAATATACTCAAAGCTTATTAATAATTATTATTATCAAAGATATTTGCTGCATGACAATTTGACACAGTGAGATGGTTAGAATCGGTCTTAGACTTCTTTGATGACAGTGATGGGTTAGACTAATTAATTTTACTGTACGCAATGACTTTTATTTTTTATCTATTAGTAGTAGTGTAATGTAGTAACACTACTACTAAAAGAGACAAAATACTAAACTACAAAGTACTAAGTTAAGAAGTGTGTACATGTAAAGAAGTTCAATCAACATTATAGTGTTAAGTTTCTTTTTAATGTGAAAAGTTGTTAAGCAAGAAGACAGTTCACCAGATACAATTTATTACCGCCGCCCATAGACATCTACATCTGATAGGTTGCAGATACGTTAACAACCTACAAATAAGTGGGCCTTGGCTAGGCGGAAGAATGCAAATTCATTGAAATGTATTCAAATCTTGTTAAATATAAACAAATCTACGTAACTGAAATTAATTGAATACGATAAAAACTAAAAAAATGATACTTAATAATTAATTGTGTTATCAAAACTGTATACATCAATTTCATATAAAATGCACAGAATTATTACTGGTAATGGTATTAGTTTTCATTACCACAGTTTGATTTTCGAGCTAATAAAAAAATTACTAATAAAATGATCAACACGCAGAATTATCTGCTCGCTCACAGTTTTCAAGAGAAAAATATTTAAAGCTTGTTATTTTCACTACGAAAGTCTGCCATGTTATGTGGACTTCAAAAAATCAATTTACAGTACAGCCAATATGATAAATATAGGAAGCGGGCGATGTCATACTCATATTGATTATAAAATTATTGAATTATTACAATTATAAAATTATAAAATTATAAATAAAATTGAAAATAGAATTATCGAATAAATTTTTTTTGTAGATGGTAAATCACACTGGTAATGTAAAATTTTACCCTGGTATTTCATCAATACATAGTACAATCCATGTTAATTTCATCTACAGCTAGATTGCCCTGCCGCCTTGGAGAGGATAAGAGAAAATAGGCCTAATCTTATAAAGGACGATAAAGGCAACACCAATAAGTATATAGCTGAGATAGTCTCGGTAAGCATTAACCAGCATTAAAAAGTGAAGGAATTTTAACAATTAATAATTTTGCTTCATTTTAATAAAACTAATGGTATGCTCAGACCCCAGATTTTCAAAATGATTAATAATACATGGGTTTTTGATAAAGATGTAATAATTTTTTTTTTTATGATATAAGGTGGCAAGTGAGTCCACAGTTCACCTGATGTTAAGTGATGGCAGCCGCCCATGGACATTTGCAAGGCCTGTAGGGTTGCAGATGCGTTTCCACCTCTTAATAAAGTGGGCCCCGGCTACCTCACTCACCTGACACAACGCAGAAGCATAACACTACCACTTCACTGCGGGGTCTTCTGCGAGGTCGTGGTACTTACCCGGACGGACCTGCCCATTCGTGCAACAGCCGAAGCTGTTGCATGGTCCTACCACAGTCAAAACTTTGCATAGAACTATGAAGATTTCAGGAAAAAGGCGACTGAATATTAATATACTTGTGGCGATCAATTTTTTGTTACGTTAATGGGTTGATGACAAAATTAAGTGTGCATATCACTGACCTATTGGAAAAAATTAAAAAAGAAGAAAACAATCAATCAGTTATGTTAGGGCGAGGTAACTCCGTGCTATCTACGGAAGTACGTGACGAATAATTTGTGTAGTGCGCCATTTATCATTACTTCCATAAATAAGGCATTTATGAACGGCATTAGATGACGTCATAATACGGTGTCTGTTCTGCATTTAGTTTTAATTATGATAAATATCACACTCACCAAAGTTGTTTTAAGAAAACGGGCTCAGTAAGCAAAAAGCTATATTTATATTTTTGTCATTTCTTTATTAACTCACTTTCAAGTCTATCCAGATAAAGTAAATTATTTAAATTTATTGTTTTATGTGAAAAGTTGGCAATCGTCAAAAACATCCTTCACAACAGTGACTTGAAACTTTTAAAACATGTTGCAAAAATCGTTTATTGATTACAGCTGTTCATAACTCTAATGGATAAACTTCGCCTGGAGCTCCGAGCTATGGACATGATCCAGCCGGAGTTGAGAGACCTGAAGGACACCATGGACCATCTCAGCATGCTGCCTGAAGACTTTGAAGGGAAACTTAAGGTACAAAATATATTTCTACAGTATGAAGATTTTTTTTTTAATGGGAAAAGAACGGCAAACGAGTACGAGGCTCACCTGATGGAAAGTGATGACAGCCGCCCATGGACACCTGCAACACTAGATGGCTTACAAATTCGTTGTTATATCAATACTTTAAAAAGTTTTTGACAGCATTTTTAATTTTAAATTATGAAATTTTGCTCTTCTCGTGTAAGAGGTATGAGTCAGGTTGTGGAGTTTCCTGGCTGCTGCTGATTTTCTACTTGAATAACATTTTATACTTGATTTTTTAAAAATAAAAAGTAAATACGACTGCATAGTTTTTTGATAGTTCTTCTTTCGACAGGTCTAGTTTAGTGAACTGGTAGTCGTGATTTTTTCTCCTTCAATAATGAGCTTAAATCAAGCCTATATTGAATAATGAAATTTTGATTTTGACTGCATCTGTAACTGCAGCATAAGAATTTCAAGTTTGTAATGTCGTGATTTGCACAATATCACTCTTAGTTTTTACTACTCTCTTTACCAGTACCAATAAGAGTAGAATTTACGTTAGAGTTTAGCCAAGCATTGGAGATTTCTGAGTTGTGTACAAGATTTGTGTAACGGAGTACAGTGTGTTCCTCTTAATATCACTATTTTGTCTAGTGTGTAATTGCAGTTATCCTTGTAGGTGCAAGAGTGGCTGGACAAGCTATCAGAGATGTCCGCATCTGATGAGTTGTCCGAAAGCCAAGTTAGGCAGTTGGTGTTTGACCTGGAGACAGCTTACGGGGCATTCAACAAGTTCCTGCACAAGGACTGATGATTGGAGTCTTTAATTGCATTTCTTATTTCAAACACAACATATATTAAGTTTATAACTTGAATTATTATTTTTTTAAGACCAATTTATTATTTTTTATACAAATAGAATACACATGATTACTTGTTTTTTTTTTTTTTTTGTATAGTAACTGCTGATGCAATAGCTTAACGATGCTCATAAGATTTTATGAACCTTAATTGTAAGCCGATAAAACAATTGATAAACATTCATGTTACATACGTTTTAAATTTCTTGGGGTTATAAATGCATTACGTGCTTTAAAAAATGGGACCTGTTTACACGAAGTCTAGACGAAAAGCAAGAGTATCACATCCACTTCCTCTGGAGTAAGCTGCCCATTGGTGCGACAGCGAAAAGCTATCGGGTAGTTTTATCATTATATAAATAATATAATAATATATACAAAATGTGAACGGAGGTTAATGACTGGCCATCGCAGTGTAGGACGACGCCCACTAGATGGAGTGACGACCTTTGCAAATGTGCGGGAAGTCGATGGATGCAGATGCCTCAGGATCGTGCTTTGTGGAAATCTGTGGGGGAGGCTGCTTAGCAGTGCTCTCAGACAGGCTGAAATGATGATTATGAATGGACGTTTCTAAACAACTAAATATAATTTCAAACTTACTTCGCGAAGTGAAGTCACGTCATGGTTAAATAAATTTCAAAAAATCTTAGTGAGCGCTGGATGACGTTTTAACGGACCTTTAAACTGTTAATCGTTTACAAAACGTATAGTTAAAATAACAGTTTGTGTATCAATGTACGAGCGGCATACAATATTTTTATTATATATATTAACTATTTATTTATGCCGGCGTTTGCTGCTTGAGGTCACCGAACCCACCCTCTAAAAGTTTAAAGGTTGACAAAACAACAACTTCTCTGGCGGGGTGCTCCTTTGGATGAAGGTAACCAATAGAGTTAGTTAGTAACCATACTTGTTAGACGTTTGACACTTCACAAAAAATATGAGTAATTTAATAACTAATAAGTTTTTGTGTGAATTTTTCATATGTCCAAATTATGTAATAAAACTTAGATGTAATTTCCATTTAGAGGACTCAAAAGTGGCATAATGTTTTATATCAACAATCCTAGCGTAGATTTTATAAAATACAGACGATTATGCACTGTATTCATTAAATTATTAAGCAAAGGTTAATAATAATCAATTGTTAGCAAATAAAAATTGTATAAATTATTTAAATCTGTTTCGTTTTTTTTTTAATAAATTTTATTTCCAGAGCTATTTTTAATGTAACGGACAGACATGAGACAAAGAGACATGAGACAAAGATCTCAATTAGGGAATGAAAAGCAGGTTTGAGATGTGTAACACCTTTTCTCTTTCTTTCATACGATCTGTGGGATTAATTTTATGCATTGGAACGGAAGTATGTAAGAAGCCAAGCGCGCGCTATTTTATTTGACCAATGAGTTAGTTGCATGTAAATGTTTTTTGACATCTGCTACACCCGAGGGTTACAGGTGCGTTGACAACCTTTTGAAAATTGAGCTCCGGCCACCTCACTCACCAGACGAAACGTGAAAGTATTATACTTCACTTTACGCCGGTCTTCTGTGAGGTCTTCGGACGAGCCTGCCCATTCGTGCAACAGCCGAGGCTGCCGCGTGGCCCTACCACCGTGTATTTACTATTGATAATAAATTTATGAAAATTTATTCATTTTCAGTTTTTATTTCTGTTGTTATTTCGAAAATATGCAGGTTTCCTCTCGGTGTTTTCCTTCACCGCTGAGTACGTGATAAGTCATCACTCATTTTGATGTATAATCACTCAAATAAATATTTCAGTACCTATTTAGCTTTTTTAAATGTTTTTTATGTTATGCTACACTACACGTGTAACTAAACAATGTCACGTGTATACGAGGGGTTTGCTCCGATCGATCAAATGCTTCAATAATATGGTTTGTACACGTGCACAATTACATAGATACGGTAATCGAAAAATTTCATTTGGCATTACAACAATAAAAAGTAAATAAAATTACTACCGCCATTATTCAATTACGTTACGCGCAAAAGGCGGGAATCGCTACCATAGATAAAGAAATATAAATTTAAGTTTTTTGTTTCATATTATTTCGCTAGTGCCACAATAAGAATAAGAATATAACAGATTTGAAAAGCATGCCAAGATTTATTTTACATTAAAATGACGTTGTAATGATTAGTTTAATGAAATTTGGTGATGTTGTGTTGGCTTTGTTGTTAATACTTCTCCGCTTAAATGAGGTAAGTTTATTTGTATTTAAAAATATGTCAAATTTAATACACAACTACCCAGTCCTAAAACAATTATCTGTAGGTCATACAAATACTTATTCCGGGTAGGAATCGAAACCACCACACGTTACACAGCATCCCATATGCTCAGCCACTGCACCAAACGTGGTACATAAAAATATTCCAGATAGATTAACTATGAAAAGGCCTCAACCATTTTTTTTCTTCCAAATATATTAATAGTCTATATTTCTAGTATAGATAATAGATTAAAGTAAAGGAAGGGAGTATCGGTTTCCAAGATTAAGGTAGATTGGCTAAATTGGGTGACAGAGTTTTAGTGCTATTTCAATTTATAAACGATCAAAGTCAAAGTCAAAGTCAAATATCTTTATTCAATATAGAAGCATTCACTTACTTATTGATAGTCAAAAAACTCTACCACCGGTTCGGAAGGTAAGCCACTGACCTGAGAAGAACCGGCGTAAGAAACTCAGCGGGACATTATTTTTTTTTTTTTACTTGCCAAAAAAAAAAATGTTACAAATATGTGTACAATTATTAGACTCCTATTAAACTCCACTTGAAAGAGCCTGGAGCGATCAATTCATTTCCAGAGTGTGTTATCATTCATATAATCACTAATACTATAATAGCCATTAACACACAAACGTTCCTTTACAAGTTTTTTGAATTTAGCAACAGATTCATTTTGAACGTTTTCTGGGATTTTGTTGTAAAAGCGTATACATTGTCCCATAAAAGATTTACTTATTCTACGCAATCTAGTTGAGGGTAGAACTAATTTATGCTTGTTCCTAGTATTTACATCATGCACATTACTAAATTTTGAAAAGTCATTCTTATTTTTGTGGACATACATAACATTAGCAAGTATGTACTGAGAAGCTACAGTCAATATTTTTATTTCTTTAAACAGGTTTCTTAGTGAGTCTTTGGGGCCCAGGTTATAAACCGCTCGAATAGCTCTCTTTTGCAGGATGAAAATAGTATTTATGTCGGCTGAATTTCCCCAAAGTAGAATGCCATAAGACATTATACTGTGGAAATAGCTAAAATATACCAGACGAGCCGTATCCACATCAGTCAACTGTCTAATTTTTTTGACTGCAAAGACTGCTGAGCTAAGTCTACTCGACAGTTTATAATATGGGGGCCCCACTGCAATTTGGCATCTACGGTTATGCCAGAAATACAGTCGAGTCAATGAGGTCTAACGCTTCCCCATGTAAAAGTACATCAGTTTTTACACTTTTTACGTTGGGAGTTGTAAATTTAATACATTTCGTTTTTTTACTATTCAACATTAAGTTGTTAGCACTAAACCAATGCACTACAGTGGAGAGAGTATTGTTAACGTCGTCATAATTTGAAGAATGTCGTTTAACTTTAAAAATTAAAGAAGTATCATCAGCAAAACAATACTATCTCATGATCATTATTTACAAGATAGGGCAGGTCATTTATGTAGATGAGGAAGAGAAAAGGCCCCAGAATAGATCCCTGTGGAACCCCCATACTTACCAGGGCCCCGGGAGATCTCTTGCCATTCACGTCAACTCTCTGAACACGATAGCTCAAGTACGATGTCAGAAGATTGAGTGCGGCATCTCTTATACCATAGTGGTTTAGTTTCCTGACCAGAGTGTCATGCTGTACACAATCAAATGCTTTAGTTAAGTCACAGAATATACCTAAGGCATCCTGTGACTCTTCCCAGGCTTCAAAAATATTCTTCACAAGCTGGATACCCGCATCTGTTGTTGAGCGACCCCTAGTAAATCCATATTGCTTGTTATGCAGCAATTTATGTGTACTAAAATGGAGTAACATTTGATTCAAAATAATTTTTTCAAAAATTTTACTAAGAGTCGGTAGTACTGAAATAGGTCTAAAATTGCTGGGGTCAGAAGTACTACCAGATTTGAACACCGGAATAATCTTACTATGTTTCATAAGGTCAGGAAACTCGCCACGTTGAATACAAATATTAAAAATAGTTGCTAAGTAAGGTGAGACTACATCAATTATAGAACTGATCACCTTGACAGAGATCCCCCATAGATCAGCAGTTCTTTTAATATCTAGAGATTTGAATGTTTTTATGATATCGTTCTTATTAACAGTAGTAAACTTAAAGTTTTCTTTACATTCCATAACATTTTTTCTTAAGTAATGATTCGGCAATTGTCGGAGAAGAGAGAAGTGACTTAGTTGTAGAAACAGGAATGTCAGCAAAAAATTTCTCGAAAAAAATTGGCAACCTCCTGATTAGATTGAATAGTATTAATACCATCAGTTAAGGTTAAGTCAGAGTTGCGCTTCGTAAGTCTACCCTTTTCATCGTCATTATCGTTATCATCGATCATTCTATCGATATTAAATATCGATATCGTCATTATCGATCATTTACGTTATCAAAGCACCGAGCCGACATTTTACTATTTTAATTTAACAATTGTATTAAAACATGTAATTTTTTTTAATGAGAGGTGTGAAACGTGCCTGCGTTTAAAATTATGTTACGCTCCCTTAAGATTGCAAATAGGTATGGCTACCTCACTCACCAGGCGAAGTACAAAAGTATAACACTTCACTTCACGCCGGTCTTATGTGAGGTCGTTGTACCAAGGACCTGCCCATTCGTGCAACAGCGAACACTGTTGCGCGGCTCCACCACAGTTAATTTAACAAACGCACTCCAGAGCGCACCCGAGGTATTCCAAAACATCAGCGGAAAGTATCAGCTGGTCTCCGAAGCGTACTCAGTCACAAAGCAACTGTTCCTGCAAGGCCGCGAGAACTACAACAGCCTGAAGAACAGATCCCTCCACGTGATTGACACCTTCCTCGATCTCGTGCACATCATGAACGGCGAAATGGCCCGCGAGCTGAGGAGCGCTGTGGTCAAGTTTTATAGAGTGAAATATTTCCACGATTTCACGAATTACGTCATATCCTTAGAGGAGGTAAGTTAGTTTGTCGTTACGATGCTTTTGCACTGATAGGATTTAACAGTGCACTAAATAGTAATGCTGTTAAGATAGTGATTTTTTGTGTTCATGTGAATATTACACAATGTAAAATATGAGTAATTTACGTATTTTAAAGTTTTTTATTTATGTTGCAATGTTAAATAGTCCATGGTAGACTGACGCCCGGTTTCTGAAGCTCTGATCATCGTAAAAGTTAACTTATCAGCTGTCAAATGGCTTTTCAAAGGTCGTTTCAGTTCCAAAAGGATGGTTAAACTCTTTGGATTGATCGTTCTGATCATTAGAAGATTATTCTGGTCAATTCAGAGAGTTTAACCGTCCTTTTGGCAACTAAAAGGAAATTTGAAAAGCCATTTGACGGCTGATTAGTTGACATCTACGATGATCAGCGTTTCAGAAACCGGGCGTAAGAAGATGATTCTGATGTCAAATGACATTAGAAAAGCTATTGGATAGCTATTATTTAACTTCGTTAACGTTTTACGCCCTTGCTATGGTTAACAATATCGTTGAGTTTATTTGCATGAGTTTCTGAGACAAAGGCTCGTTTATATTCGTCGTTGTTTCAATGCCTCTCCATTACTGTAGTTTGGTTGTCAGCTTCCCGACTTCCTCTCTATCCATCGTCAGTCAAAACAGCTGTTCTGCTCTGGCGAGTGCGGTCCACTCCCTTGCCATGATTTTTTAAGCCTCCGCTCATACCGGTCATGTCGTAAGACGTGTCCCAAACAATCAATCTTGCGCTTTTTGACGTCTTGCCACAGTCGCGACATAACGACGAGTTGGAGTACTTTTTAATTGCTTGCGTCCTAGAAGCGTCTGTCTAATGTCAAAACTATTAGTTGTACCTACAGTCAAATGTTTACATACAGTTCCAACGTTTTCCTCTCTCTGTGCAAATTCAAATATCTATTCAATATGGAAGCATTACGCTTACTTATTGATTGTCAAAATACACTACTACCGGTTCGGCCACTAAACCGAGAAGAGACTGCGAAAGAAACTCAACAGGGCATTACCCGACTGCGCCAGAAGGAGGGTTATGTTTTGTGAGTTTGTATGTGAGTTAGAGTATGTGTGTATCTATAACTGTGATAGGGCCACGCAACAGTGTTCACTGTTGCACGAATGGGCAGGTCCGTTCGGGTAAGTACAACGACCTCTCAGAAGACCGGCGTAAAGGAGAATTGTTACACTTCGGCGTTTCGTCTGGTGAGTTAGGTAGCCGGGGCCCACTTTATTTAAAGGTTACCACCTTTAAATAAAGTGGGCCCCGTGGCTTTTTAAACCCTACGGATGTTGCAAATGTCCATGGGCGGCGGTTATCACTTAACATCACGTGATCCGACAGTTCGTTTGCGTGTATTTACTGTGAGAGTGACACTGGGTATATCAAAATAACAAATTAAAAAAAACGCAGGCGGGTTTTTTAGTTTTTTAAATTATAATCTACTAGTTTAATTAACATAAATATATCATTCGTGTAATATTAAGAACATTATTATTTTCTCATTGTTGTATTTGTTATATTTATTCGAAATATTATTTCATGTGTGCCATTACAGATAGTAGACTTTATCGAGCACTGCCTCGTAGAGCCGCTGGCGAAACAAGATGAGATCAGGGAGCAGTTCCACGACGTGATAAAGAACTTCCAGGACTCGCGTAATTTCGAAGTTGTCAACAAATGTTACAACGAGCTACCTGATGAAGTTGCCACGGCTCATTGCCTCATCCATCAGGCTGTCCTGTGAGTAAAAAAAATTCTCCAGCTGCTTTTTTGTATTTTAAAAGAAAAGCAAAGGCCTGTACATGTTCCACTGCTGGAAAAAGGCCTCCTCTGTACAGGGATATCAAGGCGTAGTCCACCACACAGCCCCACTGCCGATTGACGGACTTCACATATCGTTGAATTTTTTTTTACTTTATTATTTCGAAAATATGTACGGTATGTCTTCCTTCACCGCTGAGCACGTGATAATTCAGCACTTAAAATTGACAATTTTATTGGTGTCGGCACCGGGGATCGAACCCACGTTGCTTGACTATATTGAATTAAAGGCGAGCGCCCGGACACTGAGCTATCGCGGATTTTATTTTTGAGAGGTTTAATAACAAGTCACGAACAAAACCGTACAGAGAGAAGTAATTTACACAAAACATAATACACAAATCTGTAACCCACTTATAACTAAACAAAACATTTATATTTTTACACTGCTAATTTCTACACTTAAAATTAAACATTAAAATTTGTAGAAAAAGTAAGATAAGTCCACCGCTGTTTGAATCGGTTCCACGTCTTCGGGACTCGCACCCTGACGCTTTAGCCACTAGGTGAAACGGCTGATTGCCACATCGACGAAAATCTCAACGTCTTTTATCTATTAACCACTAGGTTAGACTTACTACAACTACTATAGTTGCGTCAGAGAGCTTAGTAATTGGTTGGATTTCTTTCTTTTCAAATCGGAATGAAATAAAAGGCTTTTTATTTTATTTTATTATTTACCATGCACTGGAAAGATATTGGTATTAAGTCCTCGTCACCATTATTTCTTTTAGTCATTACGGGTTTAGGTTAAGGTGAATAAACACGGAGGCTTTCTATTCAAAACAAACTGCACTCAATTTCTGTGACGCATCTAGTAGTCCATTTTTTTTTCAATTTGACGATCCGTTTGGATTAGAGCCTAGTAGGTAGTATCTGTAGTAGATCCTGTCTCTTGCACCAGGAGGTGATGAACAGTGTTTTCCTGTATTTGTGTGTTTACATATTTATATACAAAAGAAAAGTTTTTACAAATGTCTGGGGGCGATTCCGGAAGACGCGGACTCGATTCACGCGGCGGCTTAAAACTTTCCCTCCATTTCTTCACACAAGGTACACCCGCGTTCCGGGGCGGTTCTTACCGCCCCAAGCCACCGATTAGCTAATTGCGCAGTCGACGGCCATCGGGGTTTCGGTCCGAACCGCGACCTCGATGGCCCTTAGATGACACACCATAGTTAAACGCACCCATGAGCACATGCGTGGCCCTACCCACAGCGGAGGGCCCACCGGTTCTGCGTCAGATGAAGCTTTAATAGTCTCGGGACTGAAAGCACAAACATCAGTCAATACAAGATACAAGACATCCATTTCTTCTACAAATTTTAAGTTGTTCTTCTCGAAAGTCGAATTCAACGGTTCGCCCGTTTGCAGTTTCAACGAAACGATGCAAGCGAGCCTGATCGCCATCGTGGAGCTAAAGACGCGCCAGCACGCGCTGGACGTGAACTCGACGCTGTTCGGGGTGCAGAGGTGCCTCGAGGATCTCGTGCCGAACTTCTTCGGGCAGCTGCTGGTGGACGCGTACACGGCCCGGTGCGGCTACCTCAAGGTGGTGAACGCGTCCGTCTCCGACCTGGTCAGCGACCGCTGGAGGAAATTCCACGGGACGAACTTCCCCAAGAAGTGGAGCCCGCTCGTCAGCCTTTTGAAACGCAAGTGAGTGGCTTTCGTGCAGCGTTTAGGCCTTTTAATCTTTGGGTAGCGTAGCTCAGTTGGTTATTAGTAAACTAGTGGCAATGGGCCGTATAGCTTATAGGAAGGCACTCGAGGCCACTGCAGTTTCCTACGATTCCACGTATTGTCCATTGCAGTGTAGGACGATGCCCCACTAGATGGAGTGACTATCTTCACAAGTGTGTGAGAAGTCAATGGATGATGGACTTCAGCAGTGGACTCGAACAGACTGAAATGATTTTTTTATATGCAAAGTTGTCAAGCGAACAAGCGGTTCACCTGATGTTAAGTGAACATCGCTGGCCGTTCACATCTACAAAATTCGATGGCCTGCAGCTTGACTATCTTCAAAAAAGCGGACCCCAAGTTACCTCGCACCAGACGAAACGCGAAATTAAAATAACTTTCGCTTCACGCCGATCTTCTGTAAGGCCGTGGTTCTCCCCCGGAACCCACCTGCCTATCCCTGCAACAGCAGAGGCTGTGGCTTGCTTCTGCCACAGTAAAAATCTCACCCTTCTCATAGCATTCGGGCCTTAAAAGGCCTATGAGCCTCATAGCTCACAAGCTTAGTAAGCTGAAGTGGCAATGGGCCGGCCATATAGCTCGTAGAACCCTGTATATTGTAGTATATTCTTGTATAGTAGTGTATTCTTGACTGGCCATCACAGTACCGCCACTAGATGGAGTGACGACCTTCGCAAATATGCGTCCATCGACTTCAATGGATGCAGCTGGCTCAGGATCTTGCCTCGTCTGTGGGAAAGGCCTATGTTCTATATTTATTATAGCCTATACTCTATATTTGAACAAACTGAAATGATAATGATAAATCTCTCGAGAACCTATTGTTTCAATGTGCCAATAGTGGTCATTTTACCAACTGTAGCAATGTCGGTTCAATCCTACAGGTTGGGCTTATATACAGGTCTGTGGTCATTTTACGAACTGTAGTTTTCTCGACGGTATTTTATACAGGTCTTGCAAATCAGCGGACTTCCAATAGTAAGGAGTGACTCGAATGTTGAAGGGAAATCCAGATGAAAGATCGATGCATTAACATAACCAATTCTTTTACTATTCCAGACCGACGACAGAGCATCAAAACACCCAAGAACCGTTATTTTTAACTATGCTCGCGGCGAATTTAACTCCACACGATATCATATCTACGCTTTATACATAACAATAAATACCTACTTTTAATTTTTAATAACATTTATTATTATTATAGATCTTCTTTCTACTGCCCTTATCCCACACTAGGTGTTGTCGGCACAATATAGGATATATTCATCCTTCCACTTTCCTCTATCAGCCGCCATCTCAATACTGACCCCTTTCACAAACATATGCTTCTTCACACAGTCCATTCAAATCTTTCTCGGTCTTCTGGATTTGCACCGACCAACCTCGTTCATATTTATCTCTTCTGGAATCTACCTTTTTGGAATTTTATATTTACCGCCATACATGTCTATCCGACATATTTTTATATTATTTATAGGAGCCTTGATAGCTCATTGTCCAGGTCTTATAATTCAACAAGCAACCCGAAGACTTTCGAGGTCTTATAATTCTTTATACTCGAGCAACCCGAGTTCGAATTCCGGTGCCGGCACCAATGAAATTGGTTATTATAAGTGCCGAATTATCACGTGCTCAGAGAGAAAATCTGCATTTTTCCGAAATAATAACAAGAAAAATATTTCGATAGAAGAATTGTAATAAGAAGTCTGCCAATCCGCAGCGAGGTCGCGTGGTAAACTATACAGTAAGTGGAATCCTTTGATTTTTTATTTCTCTGGACTTACTAGATATGATATATCTAAATGTAATTACACAATTGGGTATATCATAATATCTACTAATAATTTCAATATTTCGTTATTCAAACTTATCTGAAAACAAAGTCGAGATAAATATCGAGAAATTAGTAATATCGAATATTAAAATGAGAAATATCGAGATTTTAGCTCGGTGTCAAGGAAGGCGCAGGTTTGATCTATATTTGATTTACGTTAATAATGAAAGACATTTCACATTCAAATGTTTAATAAAAAAAATACTGCACTTGTAATGACAGTATTAATCAGAGATTCACAATAAAATTACACAATTGTTATTCAGCCTTCATAAAATTGTATAAAAAGAACATAACATGCTCCTTGACTAAGATTTTTACACAGGGAATGAGATTCAACAAATGCAAAAAATCAGGGGAACTTTACATAAAGACTTTTGATGAGAAATAAAAACAATATTCTATACAGTGTGTAATAGTTCCACAAAGATATTTGTAAATACTCAAGTAAACTATTGCTACACATGCCTGAAAAATCGCAATGTTAATAACAAAATCACATAGATTCATAAATACTGCCTACACCGTTGCTCGGCTCATGTATAAATTACAATTATAGTTAAGTACATTAGCAACTACAACAGATCAGAAGATCTCGATCTAGAAAGTTCACAGTGTTTGTTAGAGCTTACTACCCAAACCCTAGCCAACGCCTTCCACACAAATCATAAGTACATTGTTGATAAGGCAATTTAAGGCACATTATAAATACTATCTAAATATTCTAGAAATTAAGTAGTAAATTTAGTAATATCAGATTAAACACATTTTTATTAATTGATTCGATAGTAGTAGGTATTATTATTCTCCACGAAACTACTGCTATTTTTATATGCTAGATAGTATGTTTGCTAAATTACAACTAGAATTCATTACAACAGAATTAATGGTGTTAAATTTCAGCTTAATCACATTGAGAAACATCTTAGTAAATTAAATTTTACGTTTTAAAAGATTTCATTCAGAGAAAAATATTTTGTTATCTTTAAAAGCTAACTATGGCACAAGCAACAAATAGATTTACAAACAGTATTACAAATTAATATGTGGAATACACTTTATTATAATAGTATACAAAATGTATAAAAGGTCTAAAAAAATAAATCTTATAACTTTGTTTCGAGTTAATAATCATTTTTAAAGCTATTTTTTGAGTGTATTCAGTTTGCTGTATTTATTTTCAGTAAAATTACTTAAATATAACTAGTAGACTTGCCTAGAATGCCTAGACAAGTAATTTATACTAGTACACACTAGTATAACATGCATTTAGTTTTCAGTTTCACATAAATAATGACATTCACCACATTTTATCCACGCAACAAAACTCCTAATTGTTATAAATTTCTATCCATTTATTATTTCATATGTTACTTAATTGATTTAACATATTTCATTACAAGAAAACTTTGTAAGCAACCACTTCATTGCTTAAAAATTCCAGTGTGAAATTAAAAAAAGGCTTAAATTATTAATATTCTAGAGACTGTTTTAAAATACTTATCTAAAGGATGAGGAATAACTTACTCGTAGTTATATATTAGTATATTACTATTATTGTTATTTGTAAAATTATAAATGTATGTGTATACATTAATAAACATTTCTGAGTTTTTGGCAATACTGTTTTGGCCATTATAATAGATACAAGAAAAAGTAAATGCATTGTTACAACTTAAACTAAAATGATATACAATGTGACGATTCTGACAATCTCCATCAGCCATCCACCACACATGGTGCCATAACTTCAAAACATCAACAACATATGAAACAATTATATCAGAATCACTAGTTATTGTAAGTTAAATGCTATGAATCAAACTCTGTCATCTCCTCGTTCTTCTTAAAAGAAACTGCAATCTCCTCACCCTTATTACAAACTTTAGGATGGAAGAACGAATAGTATACCACCATAAAAACTAATCCCATCACATAAGGGACAATGCATAGCACCAAAACTGGATAGAAGTACAAAGAAGTCCGTATGATATCGTCCGCAAAGAAATACCAGATTAAAGTACAAGTGATATTCTGTAAAAAGCATGTAGTGTAGTAAACTGTGTAGCGGTATCGTGTCCTACCTTCGATTGGTAGGATGTAAGTGAACAGGTAGACCCCTCCGAGTGCAAAGGAGAAAGCGATCTCAGCTATTTTATTGTGAGCGCAAAACGGAGATCTGTCCACCATAAGGAGCCATGTGGACATCACTAGAATGTGGATCGCGCAAGCCAGCACTGTCCAGTGAGGGTAGAGGTAGGCAATAGTTGACAGAGATATCACTCGGCTCACTGAAATAGATATGTTAGTATCAATTCATGTCAGCAACATAACAAATACAACATAACAACTACAGTACAAATTGGCAGGCTTGTTTGGGGATGTACAATGACTCAACAAAAGAAGTGTGAAATGGAAGTTATGATTTTGCGTTTCGTCTGGTGACCAGGGCCCTCTTTCTAAAAGATTAGTAACACATGTACAAGTTGATTGTATCTATGACTTGTGGCAATCACTTCACATTGTGAAAGTGAACTACCAGCTAGCTTGCTTGTCATCTTCAGACTTAAAAAAAGTGATGATTGTTAATTACTAGTGCATAAAATTATTCATAGTAAAATGGGTAAACATATAAAACAATGTTGATAGATGGTTAATGCACTTTACATTAAAAAAAAATCCTTTTTCTCACAACTTAGATTGATTTCTTTCCAAAAAGTAAATAAAACCCATAGAGAAGTTAATGCACAAAAGTTAATTGATTAAAAACCTATTTGCCTCTGTGACGCCTATATAAGTATACACCGTGTCGTTACCATCGCGACAATAAATGAACACACATATAGAGGATAACTTTTTCAAATTGTATTAAACATTTACATTCTTTAAACATCAAATATTTACAGAGTTATTAAATTTTCCAAAACAAACAATTTTAGAACAGCCTTATGTATAAAACTGTAACGTAAAGTTCATTTGTAAAAGTCAGAAAGCATATGAATGGGTTGAACGAATTTAAAAGAGAAAAAACATACTGTTAGAAGGAGAGGCTTGTAATGAGACGTTTTGGCAACGAATGAAAAAGTCTCTGAATGTATGAATCAGTCAGTTGTAGTTAGTTGTATAGGATGTTACAAATTTTGTTTCCTTTTTCATTTAATTAGTTTGTTTGAAAAATATTTTTTTTAATTATGGATTTTTTTAACGATTGTATTTTTTTATGATTATTGGCAAGTAGCGTTAGATGTGTTCATTTATTGGCACGATGGTAACGACACGCTGTATACAAAACATTTAAAATGTATAATACAAAACGGTAAGTTAGAATACTTACATGATACAAAAAAATGCCACAGGGTCTGCAAAATGGTACCGTACCAGTTCATGTTGGACTTGTCTTGCTGAGCAAAACGCACAGCCCGCTGATAAGCGGCGAGACACCATCCCATACCCACCACTGATGAGCATATTGAAAGGATTTGATGCACTGAAGGAGAAAGTGAACTCAAGTTACTGAAACTGTTAAGGCACTTTTTTGAAAAAACCGGTAAAGTGAGGCGGTCCCGCGCACGAAGGACCATTATCTACAGCGTGTCGTTACCATCGCGACAATAAATGAACACACGTCTATGGCTACTTGCCAAAATCATAAAAAAATTTTAACGTTAAACAAAATCCATAATTAAAAAAAATATTTTTCAAACAAACTAATTAAGTAAAAAAGAAACAAAATTTGTAAAATCCTATACAACTCACGCCACAGCGTCGTATTACAAGCCTCTCCTTCTAACAGTATGTTTTGTCTCTTTTAAATTCATTCAACCCATTCATATGCTTTGTGACCTTTACAAATGAACTTTACGTTACGCTTTTATAGGTAAGGGTGTTCTAAAATTCTTTGTTTTGGAAAAATTAATAACTCTGTAAATATTGATAATTAAAGAATTTAAATGTTTAATACAACTTTAAAAAGTTATCCCCTATATGTGTGTTCGTTTATTGTCGCGATGGTAACGACACGCTGTATAAAAACAGCATAAAAAATCATGTCTGTTGTATGGGAGCCCCACTAATTACTTTTCTATTCTGTTTTTAGTATTGTTGTTACAGCCGCAACAGAAATAAGTCATCTGTGAAAATGACAAGGTGGTTCATCTAATGTTAAGTAATAACCGCCGCTCATTGATATTTGCAACACTCGTATGGTTGAAGATGCGTTGGCACCTTTAAATAAAGTGGGCCCTCGCTACCTCGTTCACTGAACGAAATGCAGAAGAATGATATACTTCCATTTCACGCAGATCTTTTGTGAGATTGATCACGTGGTATTCACCCGGACTGACCTGTCCATTCGTGCAACAGCGAGGACTTTTTCGTGGTCCTACCACAGGTCCCAAACACTTTCGTTCTCTTCCCCAACCAAATCGATGAGGATGTTATGCAAGCAACATTCGTGAACCGCCTTGTTATTTGCACTAATATAAAAAAAAACCTTATAACAATTCTTACCGGCAAAATCATCATATGCCCGAAAAAGCAGACTAGTTTGCAGAACTTGCTGAGGGGCAGCTTCAAGGAAACACTCAAAGATCCTGAGCAGAGCAGCATCCGAGTCTTCCTTCAGCATTAAACCATAGTACATCCTCTGGGATGATGGGTCCTGTTTACGTTCTGCCCTACGAGACTTGATAGCGTAGCTGGAAAATATACATTGGAATGTAAGTTTTAAAGTAGTGATGAGTTTTTGGTTACAAATATATAACTTTTTTACTTTTATAAGTAGGTACTTGCAATTCGAATAGCAAAATGCAGTATTTTGCGCAATGCATTAACATTATACGTATTTCTTAAAATATCTCTTGCTGTTGGCTAACCTAATAAGCAAGTAAAGGTTTCAAACAAGTACCCACCTCATTTAACTCCTCCTCTATGATGACAGCTGTTTAAGGTGAAAAATATGAGTAACTTATGTCATAAATTAAATGTGAATTGATATTAATGTAGGGGATTGTTTTCAAACATTAGTAGTGGTGTGTCAGTAGTTTTATAAAATTCAAGTATTGCCTACAGACACTATGTCCCATTTCTTCACAATGGCCTTCTTTATACACAGCATATTAGGATATAATCTAACATATGGCCCTATGTTGATTAGCAGACTTTAATTATCTAGGTGACCATGAACACACTTTTACAACAATGACCACAGCTGCTTTTCTGTTTCAGGACTATACATTTGATATACACTTTGTTCCACCATATATTTGGTCAAAATCTCAAGCATGAGCTTGAATAAAATACATACACAATTAGCATGTATTTATTTTATTTTCTTCTTTCATTAGAAAGATGGTTGAGATTACCTCTCGACTTTTAATTTTTTTACCCAAGGTACCACTCAATGATCTCTGTATCACTGGGGAAGCCAAAATGAATGTGGGGCCTTCATACAAAAGAATAATATATAAATTAAGAAAACTTCCATTAACTTACATGAGAGCATCTGTGAAGCGCAATATGGGTGCAAGCTGCAATACTAAGATAAAAATTCTTAGCCAATGTCTTTTGGTGAACTCATTTGTCACGGAATCTTGCTGCTTATCTTGAGCGTACCTGATCATTAACACTTCAATATAATTCTATAATTAATCTTATAATAAAATCTATATAACTAATCTTATGATAAAAAAATCCGTTTTTATGTTTCAACAAAAGAAAGTAAAGAATTGGATATATTAGATTAAAGACTTTTTTCTCTTTAAAAATTATTATATATCTTACATTCGTATAGAAACTGCAGTATTGACAAATGCAGGTAACAGAATGAAGGTGAGCGTCCAGCCAAACTCCATCATCTTTTGGGACAGAGAATACCTTACCGCCACATTTATATCGAGCCCTAAATCCACAAGGTGTCCGACGATCGCGACCACATACATAATTATATCCAAATTGCTGATAGTAATATTTTTCGGTATACGGTCTGGTTCGTCGTGGGAGAATCCATTTTCGAGCATTTTTCGTATAGCTTTCGGCATTTTGTATTACAATTACATAGTACCAAGTAATTAAAATAATAAATGACAAACAAAATTTACGGTGATGGTAACAAACTTAATAATTCTTCTTCTTCTTAATAATGGCTTGCTTAAAATAATAATAAAAGAAAACATTCACGTTTCACGCGCCTTTTTGACATATTTTTCATATACAAACAAAATAGATCAAAAGAATCATAGACTATAAAGTCATTTGCCACTACAGATAAGATTTCTTCCCCGTGAGATGGAGAAAAAAATCAAATTATACTTTCTCATTCAATAAAACTACAAACAAATAAAATAATACATAAATAATACACTGCGCTAGCTGTTCACCATTTCTGTAGTATTCCTTTACTCTATGCTGTTCACTATAGCTGTGTAATACGCAACGCAGGCATATATACACAAACTAACGTACACACGACTTCAAAAAACTCTATTAGCACCAAAAAGTTTAGAACAATACATATAATTATGACATAATATATTAGTGAACGTAACATATGATATAGTTATAGAAGTATAGAACGTATGACACAGCAGAGATAGCAGTACATAGTATTGATATTGCAATCTTACTCATAGAGTAACTTTGTATACTTGAGATATAATTATTTAATATTTATATACTTAAGATATAATTATTATATATCTTACTTATTACACGAATTGAGTGCCTCAACTTCGATGCGCTAGTGTCATATTAAGTAGCATTAGTATATTAAGTAGCAGAGAAAATGTAATTTGTAATCAATATGTTTAGGTAGGTTAGGTTATATCGGTTACATTTTTAAGATTTGATTATATTATATTTAGTATTATTATAAACTTTTTGATGCTAATAGACTTTTTTTAAATCGGTTCTTTATTTGCTTAAAAACATTTTATTTTCCTTATTTTTAGTGATTTAATTTAAATACTTAGGCATTATAAAATTCGGGTAGACCTAGCAAAGACGCTGCTCGTATGAGGAAACGGCGTCAAAATGAAACCGACTATGATAAACAAACTAAAAAAGGAAAACGATTAAAATCAAATAAGGAATAAAATCTCTAAGCATTTCAAATGAGAGGCCTGACCAGTGCGAGAATAGATTGTTAAAAAAATATCCTATGTTAGATAGCTTACATGAGTCGTCATTATTAATTATATTATAAAATTTAAATAAACGTCTGAGTTTAATTCGCACTCGTTTAGCTATAACCTATACTATAAGTTTATTTACAAAGATTACCAATCGTGTTGGTAATAGGGATGCCGGAAAAATATCGATATTTTTAGCCGATATATTTGGATCCGATTGCGTTGGCAAAACGGAACAATTTTTAAACGCCGTGCATTATGGACATGCGTCAACTATATTATTAAAACTCATATTAATACTAAATCTAAGATAAATAATAGGGTATTAAATAGCAGTCACAAGACAGTTGATATTGAGCGACCATTCCATTGGTTGGATTTGCAAGATTTTCATATAGAAGCCATTTTTCAATAAAGGAGATCTCTCCTTAAAAAGAAGCACAAAAGCTTGCTTCATGTGCCTCTTAGGATAATATAATTATATATTTCATGTCATAATTACAAGAGCTATACTTCATGACAATTTTATTGTTTTAAATTTAAAATTATATTTGTTCAACATGTACATATCTGTGATAAAAGTTCACTACAGTAACAATAAAAAATTGGGTTTACACAGTTCATCACCAAATGAATGGTGCTCTTTCCCTTAATATTTTCAAACCAAACTTGTTCCATTCACTCTGATTTATCCATAACTCTATGGCTGACTCCAAACAAGACATGACAGCAGCCCCTTTCCAAACTGTGCTTGCAGGGTCAATGTCCTTTGGTGAAGTCACTATTTCTAACTGTTCAGTCTTGTAAGCATAAGGTATTTGAAGTGCTAAGCGGTTCTGCAACCACAAATTCAGACCATGGATCTTTACCCCTCCACCAATTATTAAGATACTGCTATACATTTTTCTCTTCAATTCTTCACTAGAACATCTGTCTATGCTTTGCAGTATAGCTGCATCTAAGCCTAATACCTGCCCTGGTGCTAATGACACAATATCTCCTGGCCCTCCTTCTAGTGTATCAACAACAATATCTTCATCAGCATTCACTGTTGGCTGGACTTCATTCACAGATTCAAACTGTTGATTTTCAATAACAGTTGGATCAGCAGTTTCACGTTTTCTTCCTGTTTCCCTAAGAAACTCTGTGTCAAAGGGATCCTCTGGATCACTGGGCTGGCGGCTTTGAATTTTAGTTGTTTTCTGACCTGTTATCTTTAACAAATCCGTATAAAACAGTGATAGAGGTGATATAATGCATTCATCTCCAACTTGTAGTGTGTATTTGTTGATTATATCCCCTGGATGATCCACCAGAAATGTCTTCTCTTGAGGACCACACACGTCAAGGTTAACGTGACAAAAATCTTGGTATAAATTACGCATTAGTACTACATCTCTTGGAATATTCTCGTTCCAATTCTTATAGGGAAAAGCACTTTTATGAAACATCCAAGACAATGTCTGGCAGACATCTCCACCTCCATAGTCCATTCGTAGTCTAGTAGCTTTATGTGAGATGCCATCCTCAACACAGGATATAGCAGTTTTTTGATCTCCAATATCTACAACACATGCCGACCCTATCCCAGCTCCAAAAGTAGCACCTACACTCTCCTGCACAAGAAAACAATGTCCAAAACCTAAGTCTTTCAACAGTAAAGACATTAAGCATTTTAAATGACTCCTAGAATAAATGTCTGGAATCAATAGTACACATCTGTACTTCACCAATTCTATAAGAGGTATTCCAAGTTTATATTCAATAATTGAACTCCAGATTGTGTACAAGTCATTCAAAACGGAGGAAATTGAACCACCAATTTCAGGATGTATGTTAAAATCACCTCTTTTGTATGGAAAATGAATATTATATGGTAATTCTGGATCTATGTCCAGGACTAAGTCTCCAACTACAATATCACATTCTACTTGCGGCCATGGTTCTCCATCATTAATGTTTTCTGGCAATGACCGTCTATTAAATGCGGCAATTTGTTGAGGAGGCGTTGCGTATCTTCTTGCACCATTGGATTGCATGCACGATTGGAGAGTGTGAGATATTTGAAGACGACATTCTTCTAACTCTTCAATCAGTTCTTTAGTTTTAGGTATGCTAGGTGGTACAAAAGGGTCTCGATAAATTTTACCGCTAGGACGTCGTTTTCTCGCAATACAGTGTAACTGTTTGACTGGAAGGAGATCGGATGCTCGTCCAATTCTCACGTAAAGTGAACCGGGGTGTATCACAATAATTCTATTTGGAGGAAATTGTTGAAACTGCTCTGGACCAGGATCGTACGCCGGCACACTCATTGATCACTTTTTGTACTTAATCTATGAAGCAAATAAAAAATAATTTTTATATTTTATTTCTTTGTGTCTTTTATTATAAATTCTTTAACAAACAGTTTTAAAAAAATCTTCTTTTATTTAATTCATATATTAAAACATAAACATAACCTAAATGTTATTTGAAATAAGATCAACTAGTGTTGCCACTGGTAGTATTGATAATTGATTTGCAGTTTTAGAAGAAAAAAGATTATTTCATATTTGTGCAAGTTTAGCACGTCGTTAGCTCATTGGCATGGACAGCTTTATCTATTGACTATTCGAGCCTTTCGAAGGGAGGGGTGTATATGTGGTAGGGCCCCGCAACAATCTTCGCTGTTGCAAGAATGTGCAGGTTCATCCGGAGAAGTGCCACCAACTCACAGAATACTAGCGTGAAATGAAAGTGTTATATTCAGTCCTGGATTAACCACGTAGTAAGAGCAGCTATTGCTTCGGGTCCTGCGCCAAAGGGGGCCCCGCATATTGAAACCCTCATATGTGTCTGAGCCTTAATTTTTTGAGTGAAACTTGTTAAATAAGAGTGTCGAATTGTTTTTTTTACGAATTTATATTTAAGAACCCGTAGCAGATCAAGGGCTGTTTGAAAGAATTTGCTGTGAATGAGGTAACCGGAGCCAAGCCGACTTTATTAGACGCATCTGCAACTTTACGGGTGTTGCAAATGGCCATGGGCGGTGGTTATCACTTTACGTAGGTGAACCGACAGCTTGCTTTCACCTTCTCGCATTTAAGAAAATATATCGAAAGCTGTAAGAAACGAACTTGACTAGGTATTGATTCTTGTTAAATGCTTGCTTTGATGCTTCTGGTCAGAGTCGTTATTTTAAGGTCTCCATTCAATTTGTTGGTGTAAGGGGTTTGCCTGGGTTGGATAACCCAGGCAAACACCTTACACCACCATTCCCCTTCCACTTTTATGGATCATAGAGTGGGTTCCACTTACATCATGGGGTTCCAGTTACGCGATGATGAAATTGGTTTTGAATGACATGTGCGGCTATATGTGCAAAATATATACTAGCGTATTTTATAATGAATTGAATAATTACATGCCTTTGTACAAATTAAATTTTGGTCTTAATGTCATCTTACTTTATGATCGCGTGAAGCGTACTGTACGTGCTGAAGAATTTGCGGAGGGCATTTAGCACAGAATGCAGATTTTAAACGAATAGTACATATCGTATAGTAAATTAGTAATCCAAGTTTTGTTTCGATCGGTCGCTTGACGTTTAAGGGTTTTATCACCGGCGTTCTACGGATGTCGTTAAGTCCTTAGTGTAAAAGGAGAAAAATTATCAAAAGGCTACAAAACCCTCAAAACTATTTTTTATTGAAAAAAAAAAACTGTTAGGAAACGTACTAGTTCCAGTTCCATCATTCATTTCTAAACTTGACAATTAAAATGTCAATTTTGTATTGATGTCATGTCCAGTCGTGTAGCAACAATAATTTTTATAAATAAATACTTATTGTTAGTATTGTTATTATAACTCTATCAAATAAGTAAAACAATGGTGTCGAGAAGTTTGACGGAGGTGTTTGTGCTTATGCGTAATAATGCAATACATAGTCGACAAATTTTTTCCGAGGTGCTGATGCAATGTGTTTTTTCAATTTTTTTAGATTATATTAAGTTAATATTTTGATGGTAATATAAATAACATTTAAATATGCTAAATGTTGTTTATTCAAACTGATTTTTTTCTTATTCCTAGAGCGCCTCTCCAACTAGTGGGGGTTGGCAGATAGTGCTACATATTTATTTTTGTTTTGTGCAAGGTGAAAGTTTAGCGGCGTTCTGGGTTACCTTTTCCCAGCAACCCTTGCCATCATCATTAGTTGCAGGAGCTAGTATCTGTTGTGCCTAAGCACATGCCTCAGATATGCATCTTTTTACTACTTGATGGTCTGCAAAAGTTTCTGTTTTTAGTAAACTCAACATGGGCCTTTCCTTTTGTTATTGGTAATCTTTTGAGTCTAGAAAGTAGCCATCAAACATTTCCAATGCTTTTATTCATTTTCTGAGGTCATTTTTTTATAGTTCAAACCTCAAATCCATGTAATAGAAGTTTGGACCAGATGTATCACTGAAGGAGGCAAGTTCAAAGCCTTATTTTAAGGGTTTGGTTACAGAGGACCTTTCACATTTTTCAAAAACACTACAGACAATTTTATTTTGCATTGGTATCCAAGAATCTTGATTTTTACAATTTAAAGCATACAAGAACTTTTAAATTGTAAAATTCAAATACAGATTTTATAATTTATGTAGAGATTTAAAATACTTCCAATTTCTAATTTGTACAATTAATGAGCCAATTTCTTTATAATTACTTTGAAATAAAATTGGTTTTTAATTCTAGCAGACACTTTGTATTTTTTGATTGATTTGTATTTTTGTCTGAAATAAATACAGTTAAATTTACAGAGCATTGTCACTCTTCTTCTACCTAGCATTTATCCCAGCAATTGCCAGGGTCTGCTTTCCATTGTCGCTCTTATTTATATTATTTTGCAATGTCTCCTTTCATATGATAACATTATAATTCAATTGTAAATGCTCTCAATGGTTAAAATGAACAATGTCTTATATACAGTTTACTGTGTTTAATTTAAAATATGCAATATACATATACTTAATCTTGTGGGATGAATAATTTTTTAAGCCCTACGAACCAAGTATTAATTGCCTGTATCAAATCACAGGCATGTTTTACTAATTATCATTGTGAAATGCTCTAATTTTTAATATATCATTTGAAACTCTGCGAGTATTATTCAAATATTCTGCCACTGAAAGTGGTTATAACTTTCGGTGGATAACAAAAAAAAACCTAATATTAGGTTTGAACTGTTAAATCACTGATTACATCAGTCACAGTTACATCACATACCATTTGGGAATAAAACCACCTTTGATAGCTGTCCACTATCATACAATAAAGATTGTATAATTTTTTAAGAAAGCGTTTTGTGTTGCAGACACATGACTCGGAAAGAGTTCGGCTAATGAAATCAAACTCCCGTGACCTTGAAGGTGGGATGGAGCTGAGATCTGAGTCAAATGCACCACCCCCTTGGACTGATGCATTGGAAGAGGCACATTATGTTATTACTAGGTATGTTGCAAAAACTTTACACACTGGTAACAGCTGGGTTCAAATCTTTGTGGTCCTTTTCACTTCCGGTCCGGTTCACTTCATGGAGAAATTAATTTCTCGTTCTTCTTGGGTAGTTGCCGTTGACAGGCTGATGGTCCTTCGCATTTCGGAGCTTACTTTGTTTATCGTAAAGTTTCCTATAAGTTGAGATAATCCTATACAATACCAAGATACTAAGAGGTCCCAAAGTAAAACTAACCATCAATTGAGATAAACATATACCATACCGAGATACCAAGGGAGCCAAAAGAAATCATTCTATTAAGACATAAGCCACACCTATACCTCAACCAGCGCTTAATTTGCATGAAGGGTTTTCATTTGGACTGTTCAGTTGTAGAATACGTTAATGAGACTCCTCTTGGCGACTAAACGAGTTTACTGTATACCACGCAGGCTACGTACGAAGCTGTCTGAACTGCAGACAAGGCACGAGAGGCAGATTAGGCGGCCCGCCCTGGACGACAGCACCGAGCAGCAGTACATTGGGAAACTGACGACGGAGATCGGAAGGCATTTCACCCACGCGCACACTCACATAACCGCTATTAAGTCTCAGGCGTTACACGGTTAGTGTTAAAATTACACGTGCTTTCTAACAGCAGCATTTGGAAACGACTAGTATGTGTAGTGTGCACTTAGTAAGGCTGCTACATAAAACTACTGCAGTATACAGGGAGGTTTTTTGGGAAGTGCCCAAATTTACACAGGATGTTCAGACTCTGTAGTATAATCGTTTATTGAAATATAAAACAAAGTTTTTTTTTCCAAAAAAAATGCCATTCTATTCCCTAAAAAACAGAATATGTTGACAATGCGGTAGTCATTCATAAATATCTAAATTTTACTGTGTACGAACAAGTGTGCGTTTTAGTTATGAATGATCGCGCGTAAAGTAATGAGTTGCGTATAAATCACGTATATTTTGAGATAAGTTCAAATGAATGTAATTAATTACTTACGAGTGATTTTAAATATTTATCATTTTTTTATATAACATTATTTATGTCTAGAATTGAATAAAAAAAATGGATCCACTTAGAAAAGCCACCTGTATGTGTATTATTTTTTTACTATGTGTTAAGTTGAGCAAACTGCCGGTTCATCTGATGGTAAGTGAACATCTACAACACTCGATTGCTCGCAGATGCGTTGGCAACTTAAAAAAAAGTTGGCCGGCTTACTTCACTCGCAAGACGAAACGCGAAAGTTCAATAACTCCACTTCAGCCCGGTCTTCTGTTAGGCTGTGGTATCTCCTCGGATGCGCCAACAGCAGAAGCTGTTGCTTTAAGTATATTCCTTTCGTAATTGGAAGCTATCGCAAAAATTGTCTTGACCTTTGATTATGTCATTCCAGGTAACAAAACTGAACAGAAACTGGCCAATAACGTTGTGCTAGCGTTGTGTACGATTCTGCAGGACCTGAGCGTGACCTTTCGAACGGCCCAGTCCAACTACCTTAAATCGCTGACTTCGCGTGAGGAGAGGTCCAACGCTTACTTCGACCTTCCGAACTTTGAGGAGCTCAGTTTGAATGACAGTGATCTACTGCCCGGACTCACCAATAACCAAACAGACCTGCTCTTCTCCCTACCCAGTACCTCGGGCCACACGTACCCAGAAGATGATAGGGACCTAGATGGAATGTTCCAGAGGCCCGCCCTAATGCATAAGCAAATGATGCTGATGCAGGAGCAGAACACCCAAGCGGTGGCGGAGAGAGAGGAAGAGGTGAACAAAATTGTGCGTTCCATAGTGGACCTGAATGAGATATTCAAAGACTTGGCGCATATGGTCCACGAGCAGGGCACAGTCTTGGACCGCATAGACTATAATATCGAACAAACCCAAGTCCAGGTGCAGGAGGGCTATAAACAGCTGCAGAAAGCTGAACGCTACCAAAGAAATAACAGGAAGATGCACTGTATACTGATACTAGCAGTGACTGTAATAGTTTTGGTAATATTGCTAATTATAGTGAAGAGTTAGCTTAAATACTTTTTCTAATTGTTGAACGGAAGGAATAGAAGATTTTCTTCTTTTTCTTCAATAAAGGCCTCGCAGGAAATAAAAGTTAAAGAAGTAATTAGGTACTAAATGTTAACTCAAATGGACTACACATTGCCCTCAGTGTGATAAAGATTTGTGAAAACTAGACTACTATAGATATTGTGACTCCAATAGAGTTATACAGAGTGATTTTTTAGACGAAGTACATTTTTGACATAATGGAGCATTCCATAATTTTAAAAAAAAGAGTGGTCACCCTATTGCTAAGCGATTTAGTAATTATGCGTTCAGCAAAAAGTTTAAGTGCTTGTGAATAGGTTACTGTATTGAGATAGTAAGGCAGGAATTTCTTAATGTGTCCATAGTTTTTGAAAAAATTAAAAATAATCCTTTGTAAAAAATAAATGTCATACGCACATACCAGATTCAGATTTAGAATCAAATTCTACATATGCTCTGTTAATAATATGTCCGTCGTCTATAAAATCATCCTGTATGAGTCGGAGGGAACTATCAACTTAATTAAAGCATGGAACTCAGAAAGACATACAATAGCATGAGACATGTAATAGCTCCAAAGATCTACATTGAAGATTTAGTTTTGTACAAAGCCAAGTAGATGATCAAATATCTCACTTCTGAATACTTTATTGTACTTAACCTTATTTCACTTTAATATAATACTTACGTTCTGATACTTCCCTGGATGAACATGACGCCCTAAAGCGTTTCGCGTTTGCGAAATACGAGACAGAAACAAAGTTTTTAATGTTTTTTCAAAATTCCATAAAACTATAATTTATACATTCACTAAAAAAAACGGCAACGTGTTGTTAAAAAGTATGAGCATGTTGATTTTATTTACTAATTAGATTTTTTTTTAAATGTTAGGTTAGTTTTTTGAAATGCTATGTAATTGTAAAAACTAATCAAGTTTATAAACTTCCGGTACGTAATATATTTTGCTTATAAATTGCTGAAGACTGGTTGTGGCTTCAGCTATAGTATTGTGTAAGTTTAATGATTAGGTTTGCCAACTCAATAATTGGTAATTGTTTACTTTATCGGCATAGTCGTTTTCCATATAAATATTTTTTATTGATACGAGAAACATAACCGAAATAATAATGAGTAAGTAAAAATTATTGGAGACATTTAAAAATTGTTTAAATTAAATCTGGCCATTTAACACTAAGAAAAACCGCTTTTGGGTTGCGTTAAATTTTTTTGATTCAATTATTCATGAAGAAACTAACATCTTTATTTTGATGGATGATAGTTATAGGATACCTAAAAAATAGGCAAAAAAAATTAGGTTCCGTATGATTGTGTCCCCAAAACTCAAATACTAGTTTAAACTAATGAACTTTAATATACTTTTTATTCCGAAGTTCCAACAGAAAAGGAAAAAAAGCATTTTTTTTTTTTTTTACTTTTTTCAACATTCTTAAGGCCTCGTACTGTACCTATACGTATCACAGTATAGGTTCCACTAGCTAGATGGAGTGACGACATGTGCAAATGTGTAAGTCGATGGAAGCAGGTGGCTCAGGATCGTGCTTCATGGCAGTCTGTCTGGGAGGCCTATGTCCAGAAGTGGACTCAAACAGGCTGAAATGATGATGATGACGATTATTTAATTATTTCAAATCGATAGGTTAGGTTCGATTTTATTTAGATTTTATTTTTTTCACAAGTCCTATTGTCTTCAATTATTTTTACAACGTAATTATTGATTCAGTTCCGTTTTCCTATTATATCTGTATTTATTATTGTTAATATTTGTAAGTAAAACACCTTTTGTGTCGCTAAAGTTAACAATTACCTGATAATTAACCATAAATTAATAATATTGTTTTTTAGATTGTATTCTGTTGTTTCCCTAATCCGCACGTAAATTCTAGTCTTATTTAATATACCATATATTAAACTATTAATTAAACTTTCATTTTTATAAAAAAAAATAAACTAAACGATCTTTTCTGTAAAGAAATTATAAGGTTTTGTGACGTTGGCGCTTTTTTTTTTACGTTTTGTAAATGTGAGCCGTGATAGTTCAGTGTCCGGGCGCTCGCCTTTATTTCAATATACTCGAGCAACCTGAGTTCGATCCCCGGTGCCGGCACCAATGGAGTTTTTAACTTTAAGTGCTGACTTATCACGTGCTCCGTGGTGAAGGAAAACATCGTGACGAAACCTGCATATTTTCGAAATAATAACAAAAAAAAAATATTTTTCGAAGATATGTGAAGTCTGCCAATCCGCAGTGGGTCCGCGTGGTGGACTATGCCCTGACACCCTCTGCATTGAGGAGGCCTTTGCCCAGCTGTGGGACATGTATAGGCTGTTACTTTACTTTTTTTACTTTTTTGTAAATATTGTGCGTGATCGTATTTAAGAATGGTTTAGTTAAGAAAACGTTAGTTATTAGTCTCTTATTTAATATGTGTTACTTTTTATTGTCGATAAAGCGGGAGAGGTTATGACATAAAATAACAACTGAAAATAAAAAGAATATCGTAAAATAATTTGTATTGATAGATAATAAAAAATACGCTTTAAAAATCAATTTTTACACATTCCTGGAAACAATAAATATTGTTAACTTAATCGAATTTAAGGGGTGTAAATGATTTTACACCCCTTAAATTCGATAATTACATTGAGAAGTCATTGACTTTTTTTTATGAAGTCATTAAGACTTTTTTTTTAATTTTATCATCATCGAGTACAGTTTCTCGTCCGAAGCTTGAGTTTTGTAACATATGAAGATTTTACATACATATTACCTTCATGTCTGCAATATTGTTTCGAATCTGGGTATCAAAATTTCATCTACGGATGAAATTAAATAAAATTTAAACCTTGAGATAAAGAGGATAAAGAATATCCTCTTAAAATAATTTTGCCCTAAAACTGAATATACTATATAATCATATTCATTTAAACTATATCGACAGCCGATAAAGGTTCATTAAGTTTGTGAAAGACCTACTCATCGTATTATATGTATATTCGCATTATAGGATCTTAATTTCATTGATTAATCTTTATAATGTATATTAAATGACTTTTGTATAGTTCATAAGACGTATAAAGATATATTTAATTGTTAAAATGTTGTTGTTATTATATGGAAAAAGCGAATAATGTATAAAATCAGTATAGCTTTGTTTTATTTCATGCATGATAAATACAAAAATCCGGCGTCAACGCTATCTGCTCCGATTTACTGACTGCTCGATGTTAATAGATCACCCTGCCAATGTTAAGGTTCTCAGTTTTGGCTTCGATCCCGAAATGTTTGTGATCCATACGAGAGAGTACCGAATAGTTAAGGCTTTTTGCACATTAATAGTTTCCGAGACTGGTACAGGGGACGGGCTATCTGAAAATTGATTCAAGTAAAACGCACGATCCCGAAGAATGCGTCTGCGGCGTGATTCTAGGCCTAAACTTGTTACTATTGATGTCCAACGAAATGTGTTCCATACGAAGTCACCGTTAAACTATTTTTTTTTGTCGGCGACAGTTATAGTTTGTAGGAGACTGTTGGCAAATAAGCAACAATTATAGCCTTGCTTATGGTCAAGATCTAGACCTACATGGCCGTGCAAGAACACTACAGCGTGTCGTTACAACCGTGACAATAAATGAACACACGTCTAAAGCTACTTACTTACCAATAATAATAAAAAAATATAAACGTTAAAAAATACATAATTAAAAAACAAACTAATTAAGTAAAAAAGAAACTAAATTTGTAACACCTATACAACTACAACTGACTGATTCATACAGAGACTCATTCGTTGCCACAGCGTCGCATTACAAGCCTATCCTTCTAACACTATGTTTTGTCTCTTTCAAATTCATTCAACCCATTCATATCAAAGAGTACTTTTATATATCTGATTCATATGCTTTATGACCTTTACAAATGAACTTTACGTTACAGTTTTATACATAAGGTTGTTCTAAAATTCGTTGTTTTGGAAAATTTTATTACTCAGTAAATATTGATGTTTAAGAATTTAGGAATGTAAATGTTTAATAAAATTTTAAAAATTTATCCTCTATAGAGACACGCTGTATACTCGGCAGTTTTTTTTTATCGTCAGGGCAGAATTCGAGGAGCATGAAGAAATATTTCCCTGAAATTATCCAACTGCGCATTTGTAAACGAGCGAATCGTGTTTCCCGCCTTATGGTTAATGTAGAATGTGGGCAATTTGAATCGAAAGATATAATTTTCTTCTCGATGTATAGTGACCGGCAGACATCTTGAAATGAAAAACGCATTTTACAAATTCACAATGGCCGATTTTTAGGTCTCGAGGCACCGAGAGCGGGCGACAGGGAAAATTTGCACGCCAAAAAGATTGGTTGCTTGATAGTGAGCATGCATAGTTTACCTCCCTCTATGCTTCTTTTCGATCCATTATGCATGCTGTGAATTTAACTTACATCTATCGAACAAACCTTGGAATATTGATTTTTAAGTGTCCTCGTTAAAATTCGTTCCTTGAGTAGGCATGTACTAAAACAAAAGTAGGTATAATAATTATTTCTTTTGACAATCACTATACTACTGTAATATATTGTCAGAGATTAAATTAATCGTTATGATAATTCATAAAAGACTATAAAATAAATAAGCCTACTAAAACACTATTACCTATTGAATTCATTAAAACTTGGGAGCTCATTCATTACAATAAGTGGCTGTCGTAACCATGAATCTTGTAATGATTCAATACTGGGCCTGCAGACTTGGTTACACAAGTGACATGGTATAGCCACATTATAAACTTTTCACATGCTCGGCGGTGAAGGAACGTACGAAAGACTTGCGTATTTACGAAATAATAATATAAAAAACTTTCAAAGATGTAAGTCTGCCGATGCGCTTGTCGAATGGATTATGCCTTACTACAGAGTAGTCTGCGCCAACGCCTTTGTTCATCAGTGGGACATATCTAAAATGTCATTTAACTTTTTTTTTACTTTCCTCAATTCAGAACTTAGTCTATTCTATGCTGGTTTAATTATAGTAGTACCCGGAGGACCTTGGTAAATCGTGTATTTTGGAATCGTCTTTTTGGTAAATCGTGTATTTTGGAAATTACATTTAGATACAAATTACTGAGTAATGAAATATGCATAATATTTTTCGATCTTACCGACGTAATAATAAGAAAATATGAACTGATCTTTTTCACAAAAGAAAGAACTTTAAAAAAAAGGGAAAAAAATAACAAAATAACAAATCGACAAAAAATTAAAAATAAAGAAAGCAAAGATCTGGAATGGAAAAAAAGTAAAAAAATAAATGTGTAAATGATCGTTACGCGAACTACGGCCGTCTGTTTTGGGGCCGCCTGATTACCGACCGAGCTATTATGACATTTTCTCTTGCGGCGAAATTTACCGTCATATTCGAATTATATTTTTCATTCCCTGAAAACAGGGATAAAAGGGCATTTTCTAAAAATGAAACCTAGCTAGTAGAAGTGGGCGATACAAATCGTATCAGATATGAAATCTAGATATTAGTACAATATCCGAATATCGCTTACTGGCTCGTTCAATATCTATGTATTTTACAATATCTGATATTTCCGAAATCTGATATACCGAATACTCGCTCGCTCACTATACCGACACGAATCGCGATATCATACGGTTTGCCACAATATCTGATTTTTAAACAGATTTCGAGAGACAAAGCGCGTGAGATACAAATACTCACTAGTTAGAGCGGGACGGCAAGTAATGAACGATATCAGATATCGAGCGACAAAGCGCGTGAGATATAAATACTCACTAGTTAGAGCGGGACGGCAAGCAATGCACGATATTAGATTTTTAAACAGATTTTGAGCGACAAAGCGCGTGAGATACAAATATTACACTAGTTAGAGCAGTACGGCAAGCAAGGCACAATATCAGATTTTTAAACAGATATTATGAATAAGTTAAGTAATTTTGAATCTTAAGATCATACTGATAAGATCCGTTTTAATTAAATACTACAACGATATTATTATATTTTGTATTGTTTTGTTTAGCCTTGAGCCGTAACGGGCGACAAAGCGCGCAGTTAAGTAATTTTGAATCTTGTTGCATTTAAATACGAATTACGATATTAACGATGTCTTTAAATTTTGTTTAGCCTTGAGCTGGATTGCATTGGTACCTAGCACGTAATAGTTAGGGATGCCAACTTACTACTTAAGAATTTTCTGCCAAAATTAAGGAAGAAAAATACAAATGGAAATGTTTTAGGAGGAAAATTTTTTGTGAATATTTTTATTAGTTAAATTTTGTGGAAAAAAATAAAAGTACACAAAAAAGAAAAATATAATTTAATAGTGCTGTGCTGCTTGGGTGGAAATCAGACCAAAGCTTATGTGCTTTGTGTGTATATTTTAAATTCTTCTGCCATAAGTTATAATGCTGAATGTATTATTTCTTACACAAATTATAAAAATATTGTCACTCATGATTGCGTGTTAAGAATATGTTAAAGTCAATTATTAAGCGATATATAAGATGTTAAAATCAATCATTTTTATATTACTTCAATTTCTATTTTTAATGTAATCAGGTAATGTTTTAATTTTACCTTAATAGTATAAAAAAATCGTGATTTAAAATTTAGTCAATTTTAGTGGGTTTTCGAATTTATTTAGAAGTATTCTTTTGGAACAGTTGGTATCACTGGTATTAAGTTTTAAATATCACGAACATTATGTATATGGAATGAATCAACTTTTAAATACGCCTGCACAATTTATATTCCGAATGAGTATAAAATATCGTTGAAAACATTTTTATCTTTTTTTTTTTTTTTTTTTTTTTTTTTTTTTTTTTTTTTTTTTTTTTTTTAGAATTGAAGGTGGATACGTGACCGTAAAATATCTAGATATTAAAATACATAGTTTCGAAATCTGATTCAGATACGGTACTCAGAAAAAGCGATACGACCCATCTCTACTAGCTAGATCGATTTTTCGCCCCCGAATCTACGCACATACTAAATTTCATGAAAATCGCTGGAGCCGTTTCCGAGATTCCGATTATACAATTCTTGTATATATATATATATATATATATATATATATATATACATATATATATATATATATATATATTATATATATATATATATATACATATATATATATATATATATATGTATATATATATATATATATATATATATATACAAGAATTGCTCGTTTATAGGATAAGATGTCACGGGGCTTATGGGAAATTAAAGAAAACAATTTTGAATTGCACTAATGAATTGTAATGTTGATGATCTCTCATATACATAAAAGTTCTTCTCATTACAAGTCCCAAAGAAGTGGAGTGAATAATGAATATAGTACACTTTACAAGAAATTTTGCATAATATTCATCAAAACAAACATAAATTTTACAGATTCTTTTAAATATACACACAATTGTTCTAGAACATAACATAGATTTTCATTTGATATGCTGCTCCTTCATAGAAATCTAAACTTCTCAACGTTACAGAAATTATATGCTTCTTTTATACAGTTCAGCCACATATAAGAGTGAATTGTAATTGTCAATCTACAATAAAGTCTATTATATTATTTTGGTCACAAGTGTTAATTTTTCACACAAAGGTCTAATAAGAAAATAAAATCTCCATAAAAAGCAGACAGACAACATAAACATAACACAACCCACATAATACTTTACTGAATTTAATATAACTATGAATCTTTGTGCTTATTGTAAAATTCATCTAGGTACTTTTTATAGGCGACCTGGTTCTGCCACAGATATGATGCTTGCTGATTTAACGGACTCTGTGTATTTGGTTCTGCCAGGAGGCTTTGGATTGAGAGCAGCACTGTACGAACATCATACAGGGCAGTCCACTTATCTTTTAAAATATCTAGGCATATTAATCCACAAGTATCTACATTGGGATGAAAACAAGGTGTGAGGAATTTGACTACAGGTGGTGCATATGGATATGAATTGGGGAATTCCAATGAGAGCTTGTACTTGTGGCCAGCATAAACAGTGTCTTGTGGTCCATTTATAGTGCCTATCCATTTAAATAAGTTTTCACTCTCTGGAAACGCCGAGATCCCTTTGTCTGCACATCGCATTAACTCCATGAGCTCCTTCTGCAATCTGGGAACATGAAAATAACAATCAGCTAATGCTGCATAGTAAAAAGTAAAACACCAGCACTAAAATATTTGCGATGGAATTTTTAGGCAGAAGGTACTTGAATAATTTTTTTCTCATTAACAAACTAGCGACCCGCCCCGGCTCCGCACGGGTGCAATGTATTATACACATAAACCTTCCTCTTAAATCTCTCTATCTAGTAAAGAAAATCGCATCAAGATCCGTTGGGCAGTTTTAAAGATCTAAGCATACATACGGACAGATAGACAGCGGGAAGTCTTTGTTTTATATTATGTAGTGATTACGTGTTTTTTCACAAAAAGTATTTCGAATAATACATAAATTGATTTTACCAAAGTTACCTATGTAGTAATTACAGTTAGTAAAACACTGGACAGCAAATTAATAGCTTGTAACGTTGACCATTAACGAACTTTTTGCAGGAGTCAAATTTAACGTATTTCTGAATTTGATCAGATCGTGAAATAAAAGGACTTCAGGAGGACGTAAATGTCCCCGAACTGTATCTATTTTAGCGCTATGTCGAAAAACGCAAAATAGTCGTTAAATTCACTACTCACCGTTTGCTCACTGCATGATTGTCTTTCAATTTTATCGTGTCCTCATTCTGTTTGGCGGGATTTGATGAAGACGCGTAATGTGGATTAATATTTTGGGCCATAATAACACAGCAGATCGAAGTTGGATATCACCAAGTGTCTGTTAAACGAGAATGACTTCCTGATCCTGTTAATTTTAAAAAGCTTAAATTTTATTGGATGTCCCAATCGTTTGACAGCAAAGCTGTAATGGCGTCAATCAACGTCACAGACCAGCGCCATCTGCTCTACAAACAATTATTAATATTAATGTGTGTTATAATCGAAGTAAAGAAAGTAACACTAAATATTAAATTAAAAGAAATATGAAATGTGTTTAGATAAAATAATATTTTCCCCATAAGAAAAAACAATTACAATTATAAGCAGAGTAAAGTTTCATGTTGTATCAGATTTTATCGAATTAACATCTATTAAAAGAAATTCTATCAAATTCAGCAGAACATACACTTATTACAGTAACCGTATTAAATGGCAAAAAGTTTATAGTGAAATTACGGTAGATTTCTACTTTCACTTTCTTCAATTTTTGTTGCTTCTTTGTGCTTACTAAAGCGTGAAATTAGATGGATCCGTTTTGTATGTAAAAATAATCGAAGTAACTGAATCTCAGCTATTTAAATATCCGACTTATTTGATACTTGTTTAGTCATTGCTGTGATATAGTCTGTGAAAATTCATCATGTTTAATGTAAGTAAAATGCTGAATTGATTTTTGTGTTTGATATCGGACTGCTGTTATTTATATTTAGATTATAGTTTTGACAGACTTTTTTGGCAACATTGAGTAATGTTTATGTTCAATGTTTTAATTGAAATTCTCGACAGCTGCTCTTTTCCGGATGCGAAGAAAGAGCATGTCGTTGCCAAATAAGCTAGAGACTTAACGTTAAATTACCGGCTCACTAGTCTTTTATAATTTCAACATGGAGTAAAAGCAAATTTTTTCAATCATAAACATTATTACCAACGAGAAATATGGCTTAAGAGCTCCAAACTGGAGCTCTCCACTCCGGTGCACCGCCTTATGTTGTCACTCCGACGACTCTTGGAATGACGTCGCGTTGTGTTACTTCTATTCTCTTATTAAAGTCTGCCATAACGGCTTTATTTAATAGCAGTTCTGGTTAGGCGTTTACCGACGGATGCGGTAAAATCATATGAAACTCCTCGTCAAGCCGACGAGCCTTATTCCATCCCCGTCCAATGGGAGCGGGCGTCCTTCAAGGATCGGTACTTTCCCGAGCTTCTATAACTAAAATTTTCTAAGCGCCACATTGCTGAGTATTATTTACCTATTTGGACCATAAGAAGCATCTTAATTTTCTCCAGGTTGTCAATTTCCGAACCATTCCCATAAGGCGTTTAGTAAAGATTACAACGGTATAAAGTCCGGTTTTTTCTTTTGCGATTGGTCACGTAGGAACTATTTGAAATAGTGTCCTTATTTTAAATGTTTTGTTTTTAATGAAGAAAGTAATTTGTTATAAAATATATTTATATTTTAAATAAATTCGATGAAGAAACCATAATATTGTTCTATCTGTGTGTTTACTTAATTCCTTGTGTTTCAACTTTTCAACGTCACTTGTTTTGACACATCGAAATTTATCAAATTATCAAATATGGATGGATCAATGGTGTGTTAATGTGAAATAATTACATTGAGATTCAAAGCGTATTTCCTCAAAAGTTTGAACAGTTTGTTTCTTTTAATTTCATTCATTCATTTTATCACTTTTGCAATAATGTCTTACCAAATTTATTTCGACAACGTCTTCCTATCGAATTTACAATGCGTAAATTTATCAGATTTACGTTGCAAAATTTCACAATCCTATGGAGTTCCAAGAGAAGATTTATTTGTGACAGTTAATGGAAGAATTGTTTCTAATGAAACCAGTTTATTGGAAGAAAATCATGTGGTCAGAGTAAATACAAAGCTCGTTGGCGGCAAAGGTGGGTTTGGGTCAATGCTTCGTGCTATTGGTGCGCAAATCGAGAAAACCACAAATCGCGAAGCCTGCCGTGATTTGTCAGGACGTCGATTACGAGACATTAACGAAGAGAAACGTCTCAGGAAGTGGTTGGAAGGGCAAGAAGATCGCGAGCGAGACGCAGCTGAGAGGAAGCAAAAAAAAATCGAACGGCTGATGGCGGAACCGAAGATTGAGATTAATCTCAATCCGGAATATGAAAAGGGTCGTCAAGAGCTGCCCGAACGTGTAAGTGCAGCAGTTGAGGCCGGTTGGGAGGCTGCGGGGACATCAAAAGAAATGGGCACTAAGAGGAAAGCGGAGGATGTAAAACCAAAAGGGAAGAAGAAACCCAAGTTATGGATAGACGCAGAATTGTCTGATTGTTCATCATTGAGTGAGGATGATGAGGAAGAAACCAAAATGAGTCCGGAACAAACTATTTCCACAGATAGCGGGAATGAGTCTGACAGAGCTTCAGAAGCAAGCAGCAATGTGCAGTGATGCTTATTTAAAGTGTACTATTTAATGTATTTAGTTATATTCACAGTACTTAAAACATTAATATGTTGAGAGTCTGTTTTTAATCTAATATTAATAATTAAATAAAAGAAGAAAAATTATTAAAATAGCCAATGACATTTTTGATGTAGCTCTGGCTGTTTCAAACAGCAACAATGAATGAACAGCCCCTTTGTTCATTGTTAATTAAGCACATGTTGTGCATCCATTTCTTTTAAATACTTTTGATTATAACACCATTTACGATGTACATTCTTCTAGCATTTCCACCTCATAACCATATTGAGATAGATGTGTAATATATTTATTATCTAAAGTAGGTACCAATGCTAAAGTAAGCTTTGGCCTAGAGAAACTGGTAAATTTTTAAAAGTTTATAATCATAATGTTATGTAACTAGAATGTTAAATAACTGGTTGAAAAACTGTTGTCATTTACATAATTTATTAACAGTTTTTGTTGAGAACTGGATATATAATAATTTTGAACAAAAAAAAAACTGACTTCAAACAGGAAACTAAAAGCATTGTCAACACTTGAGGATTGCCCTCGCCCTTTCTCTGGGATGCCATCATCTGATCTGGGTTTCCTTATCATGGTCAAGAATCATTAAAATTGGTTCATAAATGACAAAGTTATCCCTGAACACATAAAAAATAAAATAAAAATATATACAGTCAAATTAAGAAACCATCCTTATTTGAAGTCGGTTAAAAATATTGTAATCTTTATCCACCAAATAAGAACATTGTAATGGACATGGATTTGTTATTTAAGCACATTTTACTAAAAAAATCATATGATTTGACTGGTTTTGTTTTGTATTTATTAAATTGTAATAGTGAGCTTGACTTCTTTTGGAATTAAGTAATAGATCACTGTCTAACTATGTATATAAATTATTATTATGAAAAGCTGTTATTATGCAAATTGTGTAGATTTAGGTATGTTTTAATTACTTATAATAAATTTAGATTAGGTGTAATATGTTTTTTATTTATTATATATACTTTAAAACATACATTCGGTATTGTTTCAGTTTGTCTTAAATAGGCCAGCTTTCAATATGAAATAACAATAATTGCAAGCAAAGGGATTCATAACTGAGCAAACTAGTGAAAGGTTCTATTGTTTGAAACAACGGCCAAGTTTTTGTTTATTGATGGAACAATTTTTTCAAACAACTACGTTTTTTTTATGTGAAAGTTGTCAAGCAAGCAGACGGTTCACGTGATATTAAGTGAATACCGCCGCCCATGGACATTTGCTACACCCTAGGGTTCCAGATGCGTTGACACCCTTTTGAATATTGGGCTCCGGCCACCTGACTCACCAGACGAAACGCGAAAGTATTATACTTCCACTTTACACCGGTCTTCTGTGAGGTCGTGATACTTACCAACTTCTTTATTCTTGCATTAACTTAATAATTAGAATTTTATTATGAAATGAGGGTATGTCACTGTCTGTCTCATGATTCAAATATATATGGTGGAAAACGATAATTATTTCATTTCAATACGTCTTTTTTATGATTTCGAAAAACGGTTTCAACAGATTTTACTTTGAATAAAGACATTTTGTTTTGCTTCAATTTGATTGTTTCATATTATCTTCCGGAGCAGTATATGTAAGTATATGAATACACAATTAAGGAAATTATAATTTTATTAACTTAATTGTATGCAATAGCCCATAAGAAAAAAAGGAAGGAAGAAAAATAAGAAGACTTGCTATGATGCAGTCGACTATCAACAAAATTTTCGGAGTATTATATGAAAGCGACATCTAGTGCTATTTTAACTAAATAAGCCATATGCATTTTGGATCAGGAAAGATATGAGAAGTACGCCTGAGTCACTCAGGCGTACTTCTCATATCTTTCCTGATCCAAAACTGAGTGTTAGTTTCTTAATTTATTTCTGTGTTGGTACATAACGATACGATGATGCCCCCTGTTAACAAATAATGCACAATACGGCTAAAAAGGGGAGCTCGACAGTATTTCAGGGCTACTCTAAAGTCTAATAGAGGTTTGTAGCTCGGCTTGGACCGTAGTCGATAGTGGAACCTAACCGGAGGTTTGATATGTAATCATTGTTTTATACACTTCTGGAATTACCTTAATATTATTTTTTTATAACAAGAAAATAAAGATAAATGTATGGAGTCTGCTTTGAAAATAATCTATGGTACCGCTTACACGCAATAGCCACACTTGGCGTTTACAAACAAAACCTTATAGTAAATGCAATGGCTGCAACGCATGTCTACTCACATATGGTCTGCCAAACTCGCGGAAACAAATGAGTACTTACAGTGTTTTCAATTTTTCAGATTTTTTTTTATGAAAATCAAAGTAGTGTTTCTCAGCCTACAAAGTTATATAGTGTAGTATTGCACCCGGGTAGACGGAGAGTGATGAGCAGTGATGAGTGAATAGGTTTCAACTGAGCTAGCGCGCTTACCATCAACGGCTGCATCGCCACTTACCATCAGGTAGGATGGCAGTCAAGTGCTAGCCAGTTTTTGAATTAAAAAAAAAAAAAAGAGTGATCAAGTGACGTTTAAAGTTAAATGAAGCTTGCAGGCTAGCGCCATCTAAGTAGCCGGATTGGAAATAAGCAATCTTAAAACTGAAGCTTTAATCTGAAACTCTTGTGATTTGTATTTTTTATTCTATTACAGAATAAGGCTTGGAGTCTCGCGATAGTGCTGACATTCCTGGTGTTGGTGGTCGCTAGGCCGCAGGAGTTTGAAGATGATGATCACGATGACGGCCATTCTATCGGCAATCGGAAAGGTTTGTCTCAATTCCTTTTATGGCGGTAACTTCCTTCAAAGCGCACTAACATTTCTCTTCAATTGAACGTTTTTCCTTTTTAGTAGGCGAAATTCTTTTAAATTCATTTTTAAGTTTTATTGCGCGTTGAAAATTGTAGAGCGACGGACTGTAACATAATTATGTACACTAATAACATTTTTTTTTAAATCATTTGGATTTAGTATTAATATTCCAGTAAGGTAAATAAAGTGACTTCTGTTTTTTTTATGACCACAGTTATAGGCAAAGGCAATTAATAATTAATAACACTGTACTTAATAAGTTAATTTGTTCCAATTATGTGCGTATAGAGACGTCTGTTTTTTCTTTTCTTGTTATACATACTAGGGTTTGGAGTAGGTAATTCTGTAGTGTAGAGGCGTTCTGCGAGTGCGAGCGTCAGTTAATAACACAAGAATGATAACTTTTTGTATTATAAAAATGATCCTATCCCTATAGTCCGGACTTTCAAATAACTGGAGACTGCGGTAGCCTGTGTATTAAGACAGAGTTACTCCACGGTTCTGTGTTCAAAGTAAATACTATCAGCAATAAATTAAAACGGTAAAAGTATCAGCCTATACATGTCCCACTGCTGGGCAAAGGCCTCCCCTGTACAGAGGGTATCAGGGCATAGTCTACCACGCGGCCCCACTGCGGATTGGCGGACTTCACATATCTTAGAAATATTCATTGGTGCCGGCACCGGGGATCGAACTCAGGTTGCTCGAGTATATTAAAGGCGAGCGCCCGGACACTGAGCTATCACGGTAATATAAATAATTTGTCTCATAATCCAATTTCTCTTCACAGATGACGTTTCCCGCGTCCAAATAAAGGTTTACCGGGGTCCCACAAAGCACGACGGCTACGCACCATGGGGTTTCTGGGTCAAGCAGCCATCGGACGATCAGTAGAAAGTTGAAAAAACGTTTGTGCTGTGAGACACGGATCTTTGCCGTCACTATCTTCTTGCAGCTATAAAAAAGGACGAATTGTCAGTTTTGACAGGTTATTTAAGAACAATTTTTAATCCAATCTTGGCCACTCTCGTAAACATTTGTGTCGCACTTACTTTTGTAGTGAGTAATCTGCAACACGTACTTTTTGCATTTTAGTGTACAAATGGTGCTTTTAGAAATAAAACCAAAGATTAATTGTTATTGTTTTTTTTATTCATTGAACCTGACGTGCATTACAGGACAACAATGTAACAATCGTAAATTACCATGAAATATTTTTATTTACATCGAACATTAGTAGAAATATATTTAAAGACAAACATTATTTAATTAATTAAGCCTTAGCGTGATTGTATCAAGGACGCTAGCATTTCTTCACCATATAGTTTAAGTTACTATACTACGAGACTCAATGAGTATCTAACCAGGGTTTTGCCTCTCTCTCAAGGGATCAAAGTTAAACCGTCAGGTTTCTTACCCTAAAGGAGCTCGCAGAGACCATATTTTTTATATATACACCACAAGGACAGCGGCGCCGTTGACAGATCGGACTCCTAGACGGATTCTTACAGCAATTTGCATTGATTACTTGATGGTAGCATGTAGCCCACTCGACTATTCAGATATATTTAGAAAAGGGCACGTCATAGTCTTAAAGTATAAAACAACGTTTTCTGTACTCCCCGTACCAAAGGAATCTCAATCAAGTAAAGCGCACAACACACGTAAAGCACTAAATGCGACTATAGTAAGAACAATTTGTTAAAATGACCTAAAAATTGATGAACTTTAATTTCAAAAGACGTTCTAAATGAATGTACGAATGAATCTGTACAGACAACGTTGATGCTCGGTTTGTAACAAATATTTTGATCGTCTAGGTACACCCAGAATCCAGAGCCCAGAATTTAAAACTTCAACTATGAAGTAATTGCTTGAATTCCCAAATTAATAATGCTGGTCCTAGCAGACCACCCTGCTGAGCCCCGATTATACAAATCTGCAATTAATTAAAATTATAATCTGCCATATTGTCCTCTGTTTTTTATTTGCTGAAGTACGTTTACGTTGAGTAAATTTTTTTTTTAGCTTTACAGAATGTACAGACGCTTCACAGCCACCTTCACCGCTTCCAAAGTCCTCTTGAATAGGCTGGAGTTTTGTATAAAGGCCCCAGATTACGTACCTGCAGAATAATTCTAAATTAAAATTTGGGAAAGTCGAAACAAAAACAACGGGCATTAAACTAAACAACATTAAACTTTCTCTTTAATCCTGTTCTCCACAAAAAGAGAAAAAAAAAGAACAGAATTTACCTTTCCGGAAAGCAATAACTTGATCGTATTTTTGTAACGTCACTCAGAAGCACTGTCAGCAGCCCCGATAGAAACATGTACAAGATCTTTCAGATGTTATGGCGTTATACCACCAATATCAAAAATTAAAATAAAAAGGATTTATCGTGAAATGACTTTAGCAAAGGTCTCATATAATTTATTTTTAAAAACATCCATAAGTTTAGGTTGCTTACTCTTTTTTTTTTTTTTTTTTTTTTTTTTTTTTTTTTTTTTTTTTTTTTTTTTTTTTTTTTTTTTTTTTTTTTTTTTTTTTTTTTTGGTTTTTTTTTTTTTTTTTTTTTTTTTTTTTTTTTTTTTTTTTTTTTTTTTTTTTTTTTTTTTTTTTTTTTTTTTTTGTTGGGAGGAAGTAAAAGAAATTACCTTTTAAAAAAGTTGTCACCTTGACAGCTCTTTTTTTTACTTTTTTATCAATTAACCAGTTTTGGCCGACTTCTTTATTTAGATTAAATCAATATTTGTTTCTGGCATTAATGATAAGTATCAATACTTATAACAGTTGGGCAGTAATTATAATTAATAATAATTAGTTTTAAATATTTTTTATGCTTCTATTGTATAATGACTGCTCTAAAAGAATATAATAACTCTGCACATTGTACGAAGTTGATTCTCAAATGAAAACTATCATGCATCGAGTAAAGTAATACTACAGAAAAAAGAGAAAGACAGAAAGAAAGAACTGATTTAGTGTCAGATAAAAATTACCGAATGGCTTGTTATCATAACATTCCTATGTCTTTAGACAAAAAAAGTGCTAAAATGGCGTTTCGCCGTTGATTTTGCGCGTCATTATCACCTTTTTTAATTATTAATTTTTTTAATTTTTGTAATTTATTATTTAGGTTCTCGAGTGGCGACCACGAACCGGAAGACGTAGCGTTGGAAGGCCTCCCTCTAGGTGGAGCGACGACATCATAAGAGTCGCGGGGAACCGGTGGATGCAAATGGCAAAGTGTCGTTCGTTGTGGCGTTCTAAGGGGGAGGCCTATGTTCAGCAGTGGACGTCTTGCGGCTGATGATGATGATGATGAATTTATTATTTCCCCTGCGGATTGGCACACTTGAAATACTACAATTTTTCTGAGCGAAAAAATAAAGATAGAGAGGCGTTAATCGAAGTGGGAGTGGCCCCTATATTGAAAAAAACGATTCGCCATGAAGGCTCGGATGGTGTGAGCCTCTTTGGCGAAAATTACGGCTTTTTAGTCCTTGAAGGTAATTGAAGCGGTATTAGGTCTAATTGCGCTATGAGCCCTACTCGGCCAACATACTCCAGGTATACCCACACTAAGCAGTGTGCCATGGCTCGAGATCTTTTTTTTTATGTGACAAGTTGCCAAGCGAGCATGCGGTTCACCTGATGTTAAGTGAATACCGCCCATGGACATCTGCTACACCCGAGGGTTGCAGATGCATTGACAACCTTTTGAAAATTGGGCTCCGGCTACCGCACTGTACCGTACCAGTATTATACTTTCACTTAAGGTCGGTCTTCTGTGAGGTTGTGGTACTTACCCGGACGAGCCTGCCCACTCGTGCAACAGCCGAGGCAGCCAGTGTTCCGTCATGCGGTCTCAGACGGTCTCTTTCGAATCGACAGCAAGCGAGACTTCCTTGAGTAAAACAGTTTCTAATTTTGTAGGCGTTTTGTGTTGCTTAGCTCTGATTGTTGTCGAAGGTGCGATTACATTAAAGTTGGCTATAATTAGCGGTTTTGGCGTTTTTGGCTATAATTTTAGATCATAAGATGTACGTACAATTAAACATTAAAGCCAGGTTTAGGGAGTATTTTAGTTTGGTGAGAGATGGCTGAAAATAGTTAAAGCGGTCTATGGGCGATGTGCTATATTATGCATGCTGTACGTGTAAAGCATATTTATAATTTAATATATGTATATAATTTTAGATACATAAAATTGTTCACATTTAACGAATTACCGAATTTAATATATTTTTGTTAAATTCGGTAAGTTTAAAATAAGTTTGAGAGTAAGTGAAATAAAATAGCAGCATTTTAATGCTTCTAGTTTTAAAGTACTACAAATTTAATCCCAAATAACGATTAAAACATGTAGAAAAAGTACGAAAAGACTGTCGCCGCTGTGGGAATCGAACCCACGTCTTCGGCATTCGTGGCCTGACGCTCTAGCCACTGAGCTAAACGGCTGATAGCCACAGCGACGAAAATCTTAACGCCTTTTTTCTAAATTTTTATTTAGCATTTGAAGCAATGCTTGGCGCATCTATTGTTATATCCTTTCCAGCATACAAACAATTTCAAATATCGTTTTACAACGATAATTCGAACGAGAGATGTCGCCATTGCTTTTTTATATAATTTTAAAGTTTTTTAAAGTGCTAATCTCTGCATTTAAGATTGAACATTAAAACATGTAGAAAAAGTACGAAAAGACTGTCGCCGCTGTGGGAATCGAACCCACGTCTTCACCCAAATAACGAATTAAGTACAATCACTTATATCAGCAGCTGCGAACTGACTAGTCGTTAAAAGTAAAAGAAATATATTTAAAAAAAAAAGTTTAAATGAGATGTTTAAAAGCTTGACCATGTTCCAGGCTAGATATAGTTTTGTCCGACTTGGAAAATTGTGAACTTATTTTTTATTATTAGCTATTTATATGTATATATATACCTGTCTGTCTGTAAACCTATTATTTAAAACTAATTTTGAGCGAACGGTGCTTCAGAGGTTAAAGCTTATACCGTGTTAATTTTTTAATTTTTTTTGACATTTTCCTCCCCAGAAAATGTAAAAACATGACATTTCGTGGACTGACACATAGGTCATATTTTTATCATGACTTCACTGGTAAAAATAATGCATGTTTACTGTTGTATTCATTCCATTCAAGGAAATTATTTCCGAAATCAACTATAACGAAATTTGGAAACGAGTGAAAGCCGCTTAATGGAGTGACATAATTGGATTTCAAAATGTGGACATTGCCGAATCATCTCTCGTTATGCTGGGCACCAAAAATGTTGATGCTTAAAATAGGCAAGTCTTAATGGAGTCCCTGTTAATGCAAATTTGTGTTTGTTATTTTGTCCGTTTAACAGTAAACTTTGAACAAAATATGCACGGTGGCTACAGGATAGATTTGGAGTAAGGCATTATATTCAAACCTGATTACCTATGCTAGAAGCCTATATAATGCCAATGGCTTACTTAAAAATACGGTGAAGAAACTACCAATTATTGATGTTAAATTATTAAACGGGACTTAGAGTCGCCATCAATTTTACATCACGACATATCGCTAACGCCTTTCAGACAAGTAGCGAAATATGAATATATATGTAAAGAAAACACAAACTACTCTTTCAATTTAAAATAAGAAAGAAAGAAAATAAATTTATTCACCAAAAAAGGATGCACAATGGACTAAAGAAAACAAAACAAAATCTGTACATTAAAAGAAAACCATGGTCATTGTACGCCCTATTATCGGTAAATAGATAAAACTGTCGCAAAACTTTTCACCGCTGCCAGGATTCGAACCTACTCCTTCCGGATTACGAGTCCCGACGCTCTAGCCACTGAGCTAAGGGGTCGACATGCTCAGCACGCGAAAGTCTCGATGTCTTTTATCTACTTTGTTTTAATTGCATATTCAGCAATGCTTGGCGTCATCTAATATCAAAATCAAAAATATATTTATTCAAATAGACGCTTGCGCGCTCTTATGAATCGTCAAATTTTACATCAAAGATTATGTGTATAGGTTCGTAAGGTACCACCGGTTCGGAAAGCGGTTTCTGTTGAGAAGATACCGGCAAGAAACTCAACAGAATAATATGCTAGCTTTATAGCAAACATACGTTCTCAAATGGTTATTTTAACAATGAACGTTTTAATACAGACTGAGAATGTGCAAATATTAGCATTAACATTAAAAATTAAAATCCTCCTGTTTACAATTTAACTGTGGTAGGGCCAGGCAACAGTTTTCACTGTGGCACGAATGGGCAGGTCCGTCTGGGTAATTACCACGACCTAACAGAAGACCGGCGTAAAGTACAAGTGTTACACTTCTGCGTTTCGTTTCGTGAGTGAGGTAGCCGGGGTCCACTTTATTTAAAGGTGGCAACGCATTTGCAACCCTACGGGTGTTGCAAACGTCTATGGGCGTCGGTTATTACTTAATGTCGGGTGAACCAACAGCTCATTTGACACTTTTTCACATAAAAAAAAATTATGACGTGACTTTCAATAGAACTCCTACTCACGGGCAGTGGTGATTAGTTAGTCAGTTACCATCAGGTCCCAGGATCAGGAGCCTCCTGCCCGCTTGTCCCCCCTATTTCCATAAAAAGTAAACTGGAAAAACATTCCAGCACGACGGAAGACCGTGCTGCTCTTTATCCTTCTGATGGTGGCCGTGCTGTCTGCACTGCCGGGCAGCTGGTGGCTGGCGAACGTGGTGGGCCGAGTTCTGTTGCTGCCACGGCCGCCGGAGCAGGACTTGAGGCACTTCGTCAAAAGCCGGAGCCTGCACCATTATTTGAGTGATATGTATGTGAATTCGAGTCTTGGATCAGCTAGTTTATACAGCGTGTCGTTACCATCGCGACAATAAATGAACACACGTATATCGCTACTTGCCAATAATCATAAAAAAATATGAACGTTAAACAAAATCCATAATTAAAAGTTTTTCAAACAAACTAATTAAGTAAAAAAGAAACAAAATTTGTAACATCTTATACAACTCGTGCACAGCGTCGTATTACAAGCCTCTCCTTCTAACAGTATGTTTTGTCTCTTTTAAATTCATTCAACCCATTCATATGCTTTGTGACCTTTACAAATAAAATTTACGTTACGCTTTTATAGGTAAGGGTGTTCTAAAATTCTTTGTTTTTATTATTCTGTAAATATTGATGTTTAAAAAAATTAAATGTTTAATACATCTTTAAAAAGTTATCCCCTATATGTGTCATTTATTGTCGCGATGGTAACGACACGCTGTATAAGGAATATTGCAAGAAGCTTATAAATTTTCTTAACTCCAAATACAGAATCTATATGGATATAACTTGGAAATGATGAAGTTACGCTAGATTGAACTAGGGTTAACTACAGTTATTGCTAGTTTTCTCTTAAAAGAATATGATTGATACGGCTGGTTCCGCTGTATAATAATAATATACTTTATTGTACAGAAAAAAATAAAAATAAAAAAGTACAAAAACAAAATATTTATCAAACATTGGTCATCAAAAGACGACCATATTGGTACACAGAAACCATTTTAAGATCTAAATCATTAGGGCAAACGCAATTCGTGTCTACTCTACTACGCCACGTACGCATACCATACGTTAAAAGGTACAACCAATGAAGACGTAATTAATGTGTTGACAACAGTGAGGTACTCATCGAGCCTACCCAGTCGAGCTGCGAGAGCCTGTCCAGTATTCCAGTTCTTATACTCGTCGCCAGCGTCCCTCAGCACTTCCAGCATCGGGAGATGATAAGGAAATCCTGGGCGAAATACCAACCGACCTACTTCGTGATAGGCACTCACAAGTCATCGGTTGAGATAATCCTGGTGAGGTTTATTTATCACTAATTAGCGATGAGAGCTTAATAAGTTATAAGTCAACTTTGCTAATATCCTTTATCGTCGTAGCCCTCTAATTGTGAACTGCTTAACTAAGGCCTCCTTCAAAGTCTACTGTAAAAGGTTGGACATAAATAATTATTTATTACTTACCAAATGAAATACTTCACAAATAAAATCCGTAAATTTTATGACCCTGACTACATAAATTTAATTAATGACACTTGCGCGATAGTGCCAGCGCTGGCCTGCTCGGCAGCCCGTTCTCTGGGAGCAATTTTCCTCTTCTCCAGGTAAGGTACATTAGAATATTCAGTGCGTAGGAACGCGAACCTTTAAGCCAACGAACTTCCCCAGTTCGTCGACTAAAGGCCATGGGAGCCAGGAGAGCCAGGGTAAATAAGGAGCGCGCGTCCCAGCCCCTAGCAGCGGACCTGGTCTATGGTTACGATACTCATCACGTTTCGTCCGCGGAGGGCAGGGATAGTGACGTATCGCTCCTTTCTCGCCGCAATCAATCACTACTGCATCAACAGCCCTGCCGAGTGGAAGTGTGCATAGGCTGGCCAGCTCTTGGCTTCACCGTGGGTGATCGAGCTTCTACTACTAAGCCAATCCGCCATCACAAGGCGGGAACCCAGTCGGGGGACCCCATCCTTGCCTACCCTTAGAGCTTTTAAATAAGATAAAAACTATGCGATCCCACCTCAGGGCGGCAACTACATGGAAGCTAAGCAGTACAACGACATCATTCTATTCGACTTCCACGACCACTACCAGAACCTGACCCTGAAAACGGCCCTCATGCTGCAATGGGCCTCCAGCAGGTGCCCCCAAGTGAGGTTCCTCTTGAAAACGGACGACGACGTTCTGGTCAACCCGTGGACGCTGCAAGAGGTCATCCGCGACCATCCCGACGCCCAACTGCTTGGTGGGTTTTGTATTGTTAACTTTTTGGATGACTCCGTGGCGCAGTTGCCAAGGTCTTGGCTTCGGCGCCGTGGTTCGACTCCCACACGGGACAATAATTTGTGTGACTCATAGATAGTTATTTCGCAATTGACGTGGAATTTATGTGTGCAAAATGTCCTTACAACAGTAAAAAAGGGTAGTATTATCCTGTAATAAGGGCAATAAAAAACAATAGTGGATATGGTTAATAAGTAGTTTTCTCTATGTTGTACATTGCCGCACTATCGTATTCAAAGTCAAAATCAGTTATCCGGTGTCTTAGGGTGCTTTTACCATTAACCGCTTTACCATTAAGTGGTGATGATAAAGAATTTGCTCCCGTTTTTTAGCCTCAATTGCTTTTGATGTTTTTGCATCATTACGGCTGCATTTTTATGGAGTTGGCATCGTTTAAAAAAAAGGTAGAGTTTCTGTTTCATTGGCTTATCTTTAGGTTTCCGCGTTAAAGATCCTGGATTCCACTAGTCCATCGGGAAATTAAGAATATCAATAATTGCCCCACATCTGGGCACTGTTCTGTGAGAAATAAATCTAACATAGCTTTATACTACAATATTAAGTTTAAACTACCATAAAAGTCTGTAAGAACGTAAATAGAGATTGAACATATGGTATTTCTATTATCTCTTTCAATAGACTCTCCCGTTTTTATGGACGCTCACATTATTGTGTCTTCCACCTCACCCAGGCTTCAGCATCAACAACACGAGGCTCCACAGGGACCAGTACAACAAGTACTATGTGCCGCGCTGGTTGTGCCGCGAAAACTTGATAGACCAGTACCTATCGGGCACGGCATATCTCGTGAACGGTAAATGTTGCTAATCTCACACTTTGTAATTATTTCTAGGTGAACACCATTTATTTAATAAAATGACGTTAAGGGTTTTATCACGTATAGTTTTATTTTTAACCCCATGGACCCTCAGATGGGCGCCAACATTCAGTTACAAGCTCGTCGTCTGTCAATTTATGGAACTTGATAAGCTAGCAAAAATATATAGCTACTTTCTTAGGAATTGAAATGAGAGCTTTGTGTGTATTTTGTAGTAATTACTCCAATCTGCACAAAATTGCTGGTTTAAAGGTTTTGTATCGAGTAACGTTTGCCCTTCAGGTGCTTACATGAAGAAAATCCTGCAGACGTCGTACAGCGTGCCGTTGCTGAACATTGAGGATGTGTACATCACCCATCTGGTGGCAAGGAAGGCCCTGAACCTGACTTTGAGCCACGACAGGCGGCTGAGTCCCAAGAGGCCCTGGGTGCCCTTCGTTTGCGTCTATTGGAACCTGGCGACCGTCCACAGTCTTCGGCCCGCCGAGGTGATGAGGATCTGGCCCCACTTGCAGAATGTCGCGCGCGATCGGAAGAGGAAATCGGAATGCGGCCGCTACAGTTTCTTCAACAGCGATTTCTTCTTGTACTGACATGTGATGTGGGAGATGTGCTGAAGAGAGAGGAGACGAAGTGAATGGAAGTGAGTGACTGGAAGAAATAGGGGACGAAGTGACTGGAAGTGAGTGAGTGGAAGAGGGAGGGGACGAAGTGACGTTGTTTTTTACGTCCTGCATGAAGGTGATATAGAGGAGCTAGACTAGGCAGTAAGGTTGTCAAAAACGGTAAAAAAAGACAACGTAGACACAATTTCTCTCGGCAAAGTTGTTTTGTCTCTTGATAGCGATGTTGCTATTCTTTTATTATGGCGGAGAACGGTAGTTTAATGGACTGTGGATATAGAAAATAGATATTTTGGTTAGGAAATAGATTTGAAAATTCTTGAAAGTAAAAGCAGCCATAGAAGAAAATCATTATTTATTGGTCCTTTTATCTGCGGGTTTGTATTATATATTTTTTTCAAATTTTAATGTAACTGAATTAGATAATACTGCAATAAGTATATCGTTCTGTTCGTCAGAGTTCTGATCAATCAAAATCAAAATATATTTATTCACATAGACGTTCTTATGAAATGTCAACATTTTACATAAAAATTAATACGTTCGTAAGTAAGCTACCGCCGGTTCGGAAAGCATTTTCTATTGAGAAGAAACCGGCAAGAATCTGAACAGTTGCTCTTTTTTTAAAACCATTAGTTTACAATATAATAGGATAGGTGTAAATCTTACTTTATCCTACGTGAGTATCAACAGTATTAACCCCAAACATTGGCGTCGTCAACATATTCGCAATGGTATAGTACATCTTAGCCATAAGTTCACTTTTAATTTTGCGTTTAAATTGATCTAGTGGCAGACTTAATATTTTGACTGTGGGATTTTATTATACAGGCGCACACTTTGCCCCATGAACGATCTATTAACTTTTTATAGACGAAACAATGGCGTTATTAATTTGTCCTTATTTCTAGTATTTAATTTTAATTTAATTTAATTTTCGTGGAACCCTACTCTGCAATCTTATTAGTTTGCGATATTATTAGATTGTTTTAAAATTTAAAAGAACAATGTTTTTTCCTTTAATATAAAAAAAAAAATTGATTTTGCTAACTACCAAATGGGAGTTTGAATATTAGTTTAATGAACTTATGATTTGGACTTTAAGTCGTTTCTATTCCACGTATAATATATTAGTATAAGTTGATATTGTTATAAAATAAAAACTTTTTGTACAGAACCTATTTCTTTTTGTTATAAACCAAAAAGATTCAAGTTGTGTTATGAAATAATGATTTTTTTTAGGTTGATGACGAAATGTGATGTTAATTGTATATCGCCCATGGAAATACTAAACGCCCGAGGTACCAATTTGTTTGGCAACCTTGAAATGGGTAGACCCCTGTTTCTTCAATCACCAGACGCAAAAGTGTAAATGCGGCGAATCTTCTGTGAAGGCTTCTATTTTATTTCCCCAGAAGAAGCTATCCATTTGTGCATAAGCGGAAGTTGCTGCGTTGACTACTAAATTTAAGATTTAAAAGACCTGAGATTGTACGAGCTTGACTATCATCATAGTTTCGACTAATGCAACACTCTTAGGGTTGTCACTTTTCAATAAACTGAGCCCCGGCTCCCTGGTGTGTAGTGTACCAGACAAAACGCAGAAGTGTAACGCTTCTACTTCACGCCGCTCTTCTGTTAGGTCGTGGTCCTAGCCCGGACGGACCCGCCCATTCGTGCAACAGCAACTTACTCAAATGTGGTAGGACTACGCACTGTTGCGTAGTCCTACCACAGTTGAGTAATAGAACACAGCTGATGTCACAGTGATGACTGAAGAAGTCTGCAGTTTGCGATTACAATTTAGATTTATTATTATTATTAAAAATTTATAATTATATACCAAAATGATAGTGAGATCCTCGCAAAAGAACATCCGATTCCTTCCATGTATAATACACGAGATTATTGAAATAAGGAAACATACTTCCTAAAAGATGAGCCATCATCGCTTTGGAATTCTACAATTTATAAAGTCAAATCCAAGATCACCAACAATCCAACACTTAAAGGATTTTTTTTAGTCGGTTGTTCATGATGGGCCTTTAGGAAGTCTTTTCATCCACCGGGCGCTGAGGGCAACTAGCCTGAACTTCGACCTAAAGGTACCAGTCTCATTTAACTAGCGAATACAAGAAACTTGTTGAATCTATTATAAATAATACAAAAGGTTATTTAGGTAATTATGGTAGTACATGGTTTATTTAATAGATCAAAAACAACATTACTTTCACACTCAAAGTGCCAGATAGGCTCGTACACACCATCCGGGCCTTCCTGTCAAACCGCTCTTTTCGATATCGACTTGAAGGCACCCTCTCCACAAGCCGCCGCCTCACGGCCGGCGTACCACAAGGCTCCTGCCTCTCACCTTTGCTCTTTACGCTCTACACGAGCGATATCCTTAAAGACCCCCACGTCAATCTCGCGCTTTTCGCGGATGACACGGCGCTCTTTTATTCAGACCGCAACCTTAGACTACTAACCACTCGACTCCAAAGCGCCGCCGACCGCCTCGGCGACTGGTTCCGCAAATGGAGAATAGAAATAAATCACGAAAAGAGTGTAGCGATTCACTTCACACGAAGTACTTACCCGTCACATCTTTATAATGGTCCTCGCCAATGCAGAAAGTTGGGACAAATATCCCTTTATGGCCAACCGCTCCCCTGGGAGAAAAAGGTCAAATACTTAGGAGTCACTTTCGACTCGCGTATGTCATTAACTACGCACATTAATAACGTTTGTAATAGAGCCGCGTTCGTCTCCGGCCCGCTACACAATTTAACTAACGCTAAAAATAAAATGCCCTTAAGGCACAAATTATTATTATATAACACCTGCGTACGACCTATTATGTCCTACGCATGCATGATCTTCGCCCACACGCACCCTACTCGCTTGTACAAGCTGCAAATAGTACAAAATAAGTTCATCCGCCGTGCAACCGGTGCGCAGTGGTATCAACGCAACGTCGATCTGCACAGCGATTGCAGACTCCCGACGATTCGCGAATATTTTAAAGACCTGACCAAACGGTTCTTCGATAGAGCCGAACATCATCCCAACCCTTTGGTGGTAAGCGCAGCAAATTACCAACCGGACACAAACGCGAACGTCAACAAGCGTCGCCCGCGAAACGTCCTCATCGACCCGGTCGAGGAAGGGGACTTAGATACGCCGGACCCACCGCCGGGGGTCCCGCGGAACAACACTACACCCACAGTTAGTGCAACAACAAACACACTAGTTCGCCCTCGCCTCCGAGCACGGCGAGACCAACACAACGCGTACACAAGGTACACCCGCGTTCCAGGGTGGTTCTCACCGGCCCCAGCCACCGATTAGCTAAAAACATAGTCGACGGCCATCGCGGTCTCGGTCCGCACCGCAACTTCGATGGCCCTTAGATGACATGTCGTAGTTAAACCGCATGAGCACATGCGCGGCCCTACCCACAGCGGAGGGCCCAAACCCGTGGGTTCTGGCTAGCCCACCGGTTCTGCGTCAGATGAACCTTTAATAGTCTCGGGACTGAAAGCAAAAACATCAGTTAATACAAGAATACAAGAACATTACTTTTAGATCCAAGAAGTGTGGAGACGACTAATCATGTTACCGTTAGTTTTATGTAAGTTTATAAAAATGCAAAAAAAAAAAATTGGTTTGAGTTTTCGAAATTGTGGTAAATGATGGAATTTCACCTATCCGGCTCTAACCGTTCGTTCTGCCTCTGTTTATTTATTATATGTGAGTTGTATTAAGTGTTTAGTTTTTTAACTAAAGTGAACGCGATCTAAAGATCGAATGCGGTAGTTGGGAACCTTTATAGTAACAACTAGGCCAATCTCAAACGCTTGATAGCGAACGGTTATGCTAGGTTTTTTACTAGTGACATTGACTAGGCATTTTCAAATTATTGACATGTATTCGATTGCCGCAATGTATACGAAATGAATGGGACTAGGAAGACGTTAAAGTGATGTGATGTCAAACTTTGTTAAAGCAAAACGCCAGATGCTGCGCGCAGGTGTATTCACTTGATAAGGTTTATAGTCCTCTCGTCTTATTGGAAAATGGTTAACATTGTGCGGTTTATTTAACTCGTACGGCGCAGGTACGGATTTGGGACGGCGAAATCGATAAATTTGATTTAATTACGTATATCATATTTCAGGACACATTTTTACACGTTTTGTAGTCCCAAACAAAGCAACGCTTGTATACGATAATAGATAACTGATAAACATACTTTTCTTTTGTAAATACATATTATAAATATAAAACATTAACACAGAAAATTTTATTACATATGTCCTATAACGCAAAAATCAATCAACGTTTTAAATATGTTTAAACACTCGCACCCGAGATTTGGAAGAAAGATTAGTAATTATCTTGATCCTGATAGCTGTTCTGTCTCTGTTTCTATATATTACTATAGTAATGGAATCAGCCGCTACCAATGAAAAATCACACATTGAACGAGATAACATGGCAATTTCTGGAGTAATCACAGGCACATTTATACGGATGAAGTGAAAAGCTGTTCAAAAGAAGTAAATTTTCCTAATTTCCTATCAATTCATTTAACTGTCTTGATGAGGTCTCCATTTCATCAGATCGCCCTTCAATCGGTTCCACTAGTTATATATTCTATCCTGTTTTTTACTAACAAAAGAGAGTTAGTTATGATATTAGTAGAGTTTTCAACTTTCTCACTTGAATAAAGCGACCTTTGTGACAAGTTTCTTTATTATTTATTTTTCACTTGCATTTCTTACTCTAACATAATGAAATACTTATATAATCATACAACTATAATTATGAGGGTCAACGCAACATGCTTTTCCTTCATAAAATCTTAAAAAATAAAATATTTATAGTAACTATAATATTTATAGTTACTATAATAGTTTAAAATTATAATGGATCTATTATCCACCTTAATAGATTTTGAAAGTTATCGACCAGCATAAAATGTATCAAAACAAAATGGTAAATTAAAACTATAATTTCATTTTAAAATTTCAAAATATGATATTAAATTTTCGATAAGTTGACTTTTATAATTCTTTAAAATTGAAAACCGACGACGGCGCATAAACGCGTGTCGCAAATTCAATAAACGAAGTGTAACTTTTGACTTAATAACGGCTTTGTCCAAGTGCGACCCTTTGTTTCGAACAAAGAATGGTTGGTTTCGAATGAGGGAAGCGATATAAAAGGTTGATGGAGCGAATTATTTAGGCACTGGTGAAGTGACAGGCTAATCGCCATGGACGTGAAATTGCTAATTTTTCTAGTGGCACTGTTGTTCCTGGCGAAGCCTGGGAATGCCGGTGAGTTACCTTTTTAATTATTGCTACATGCTTAATACGCAAAACTGGTGGGGCCACGCAACAGTCTTCGCTATACGAATCCGTCGCTATACGAGGTCCGTCCGGAAAAGTACCTCGACCTCACAGGAGACTGTCGTGGAGTGGAAGTGTTATACTTCTGCGTTTCGTCTGGCGAGTCAGGTAGCCGGGGCCCTTTTTATTCGGCAACGCATCTGTAACCCTACGGGTGTGGCAAATGTCCATGGGCGGTGGTATCATTTAACTTCAACGCCAGCTCACTTGCCACATTTTCACATAAAAAAAAGGTGAGGGTCAAAAGTAAGGGTACAATATTGTTTCCCTTTGGCTAGTGCTTGACTATTTTTCCAAATGATGGTAAGCGGCGATGTACTGTCAATATTCATTTAACTTATTTACTTTTGATATTCAAGTTGATGCTTCTTAAGATGTCGAGCTCTTAAAGTTATAATGACAGGCTCTGGATTTGTCTACATACGTTGCGCATCATTGTAGAAGGGTTATTTATTCATGTCAGTAAATTGAAAGAAAAAATGCAAACGGAGCGCTGTCGGAAACTAAATTCGTAGCTCAGAAAAGGACCGATATCCCAATCACGAGGCTAACCTCTGACTTTTCCCCGTTTTACTGCATTATAGATAACATAGGTGAGACGAGGGATAATCATATACTCCTGTAAATGCTTACTCGTAGGATAGAGAATTTGTCCATCTGATGAAAGGTGTGACGTTTAACACACTGTACGATGACCGCAAAATTGTATCATCAACGATTTTGGAATAGAATCCATATAACTAATAATAATTTAATACGTTTATTACACAATGAGGGTAGGCGGGTGGTCGTAAAGAACCTAGCCAAGACCACTTACAACATATGAATCATGTTGTAATATGGTTAGGGATCAAGGATAAGGGCAGGAGGATAATGATGATAACACCTATAAAAATTAAAATATCACGGATGTACGGATTACCTTACCAATTCCACGGAAAACATACACAAAATGAACAGAGACCATGGCTGACAGTCGAGGTTTTTTAGGTCAACCGCAAAAATAACTGATTTTTTTTGGAGACAACTATATTTCCAATGTATTACTATTTAATACTTCTTCTTTATATATTTTTAAATCGGGAAGCATCTTAATTATACCGAATAGAACAACTTGACACCCTTTAAGCTTATGGTAATAACAGGGCTGTTCTTAAGATGAATAACTTATCCCGTGTGTTCCAAAAACATGACTTTCCCAACAAGTTTCAGTTTTTTTAACTTCTATGTAGACAAGTTTATTTTCAAAATATATGAAATTTCAAAATGGTAAAGGTAATTTCCGTTGGACGGACGGTTCCGGACCTATATATAATCGACCCTAGAAAGACTTCAAAAGCAGGCGTTTAAGATAGGAATAAAATGGTTTTCTTTTTGACCATCTTTATAAAAATTTTAATCCACAAAATCTACCTGTAAGTGGGGGGTAAACATGCCGATTCTTTACACTTCACAATATATCACGATATTGTCAATCAAAGTAGGTATACCTCTAGGCAACAAGTGAAAAGTACCATTAAAAGTATATAAAACCTCCATAGAGTTTGGATACAATAAGGTAATGCCGAAAACTCCCGAGGAGCTTGAAACTTTGGGCCTCAAGTGTATCCCGGGTCGTACCGTTGTAAGGATGCAAGCGGCCCACGAGGAGAAACTCAAAGACGACGAGACTGAGGAGGACGATGAAGAAGTCGCCACAGACACGCGGCGGACCCACATGAACCACCCGCCAAAGGACGAAAGCTGCAAGATTTGCGTATGCTCTGTGGAGGGCAAAGACGAGTACTGCAGCAGGAGACCAGCTATGAACGTCAACGAGTGTATCAGGATGAGCATGTTGAACGAAAGTTTCAACAACAACATACCCTTTGAACACGAGCGATCGCTATCCTTCAGAATCAGGAGAGGTCGGTGGGAACGGTGCTCAGTCGGCTGATAGAATCGGGCTGTAGGGAAAGCTGGGTAGGGAAAGCGAAAAAAATTTATAGCACACACCTTTTTTATAGATATTAGTTACATTAAATTACTTACTACTACTACTTAGTAATTACCAGTTAAAGATGAGGTTGTGAGTAGACATAGTCAGTTACTTTTATGAATGTACTGTAATTTTTAATAAATCAAAACCGAAGAGAACCCTTTTTTTAAATACGTATGTTTTGAGCTGTTCGTCATGAGGCAAAGCTAAGATAGGTTTGTATCTAGAATGGCAAAAATCTTCTCTTATGTTTGATCCCTCGTGTCTAAATCGCAGATTATATTTGGCACAAAGACGAAATCCCCTACTCGCCGAGCGCTCGCTGCTTCCGCGGGACTTCCTACTACACGAACAATCCGCAGGCGAACGACACTAGCCTGGCTAAGCAGATGAGGATGGAATCTCAATTGGACTATGATACGAGCATTTGTTTCTACTGCGTCTGCTCTACTAGCGGCCACTCGGCTGGATGCATCGTCAGGAGTCCCTGGTTCTGCGAATACTATCGCATAATAAGGAGGCCGAATAGCGCTAGGGATCGTTACAGGTTGTTGTTCCACGAGGATCGGCCTGCTTACTTCAGACAGCTGTCGTATCGTGTCCGAAGAACTATGGACGAGGGCTTACTAGAGTTACTGGACTACGGTACGGGTTACGTGATTCCGGTTTGCGTTTTCTGGCCACGTCTTTCCTTTTTTTTGTCACAATTTCTTCTGCACAAAACTGGTGTTATTTTAATAATATCTCAGCGGTTTTTGTGTTTGTAAATACTATGTATACATTTGTAATGCGCCAATGTGAATTATTCACTTAACGCGACGTCTCCTGCTACCAATCTGGACAAGTGTAATGCTTGAATGTTTATTATATTTTCAAAATTTTTCTCGTCCACTAATAATGTTCATGCTAGGGTAGAGTTTCGCACGTGCCATTTTCGTATTGTACACAAAAGATTGGTCCTTGCAGGAGGCGACGCGTTGTGCTGCAGTCACCCTTACGGCCATCGAAGAAACCTCCATGAAAGTGTGAGGAACAAGATCCGAATGCTGAGGAAGAAAGTGCCCAAAGAAAACATATTGGCCGGCAGCCCCACGGGAGATTACGTGGACTTCGTTGTAAACAACGATTAACTTGAGACCAACGAGCAACTAGCAAATTATTCCAGCAGGCTGTTTTGGAAGAGGGAATATTAGTTTAGTGATTTTTTTATTATTAAAGATTTGTTGTTAATTTATCATAGTGTTATGTGCTTATAACATTGACAATAGTGTGAATTTAATTTAGAATGGTGATTACAAAGTATTTTTTTTATATTTTTATACCGAAGTTGTTGTGTATGTTCAATAAATGATTTAATGATGGCATAAAAGTTATGTTTCAATGGTTGAAGTGAAAAGTTTGTGTTTTTGAATACATTTTATAAGTAAAAAAAATTGCACGCAAACGCACCGCTATTTTCTACGCACGATTCTATCAGCTGCACTGGCTTTTTTATTATTTGCTGCACAGTTATTATATTAAAAGATTAGTTTTAAGTGTGAAGTTAACAAATGTTAACTGTAGATATATACATGAATGATATATTAAATATATTAACTATTGGTTGTTGATAGATGATAATGATTTACGCAAGCAAAACGGTATAAAACAGTTCTGCCGCTCTATTTCGCTATACTGTATACCAGTGACTTTAAAATATATTAAGAGCAGTTAATAGATGACTCGACGGCGCAGTTGCTTAACGGTTTCTGCGCTTGGGGGTCGTGGGTTCAATTCCCACGCGTATTATATAGAATTTGTGTTACTTTCGAATAATTGTTTTGGACTTGGGTGTTTGCTTCCAAGGAGGGTTGACATCAGGCTGGCGGCCAGTCGTAAAAATCTATACAAAACCACTTAGAAAATTATTCACACGTTGTGTTAAGCCCAACTAAGTGAGATAAGAGCAGGAATACGACGGTGATAAATAGTTGTTTATAGTATGTGTCAGGTTAAGGCGATAAAACTGGACTTTAAAAAGGAAAAAAACAAGAGTATATTATATTGTGCACCTGATAGTTTCCAACTAGTCCTTAGTTAACTGAGAACTTTAACGAAGATCTAACTGTGGTAAGGGTTTAATGGACAAGGTAAGCAAAATACAAACCGCTTCAGACCATATTCATACTATGTATACAATACAAGGTAAGGTTACGAGGCATTTAAAGATTTGATGGAGAATTAATATATTAATTAATAAAAAAAATTGAGCCTTTTGGTTTAGGAGGTTGGGCCGAGTTATTCAAAATATTAGCGTAAATATAATAGATTAATACGAGGGCTCACGTCATTACAAGGAGGTATGTCACTGACCTTAATATTTACCTTAATATATGGGAAACGAAAAAACACAGAAGACACTAATGAAATGTTAAAACGGAAATCCAATGCACGGTACAGCACTGTATCGAACCTAAAACCATTACAGTTCACATGACTTTTGCTGTCACAAATTACGAAAGAATTATGTCTAGGAAGAAAAGCTATATAGTTCGAATGGCGTATTCATCTTTTTTGTCTAGTGTCGATACCATGTTATCTTATAACCAAGCTCTGATTTAAAGGTTGTTACTTTTTTTTACAATATTACTGTAATTTTTTAGTTGGCGATGATAAGGATAGTTCGGAGTGTGTGCCTTTATTGTCAGAATACACAGACTGCTCAGAAGGTAATATCAAATATTCTTAATATACATGTTATTTTGTAAAAAACAAAAATACGTGACATGACTTGCTATACTGCATTATAGATACGTTTTTCCTTTGTTCTCCGATATATACGATACTAGTAGATTGGTTATATATCATACATGGAATAGATTATAATATAAAACCCATATTATGTAATCCTTTCAGCGAATATATGCTCGGGATGCAGAAGATGCTCGTGCACAATAGAAGGACTCTGGTCATGCCAGACGGTAAATGATTGTCCCCGTAACGGAGACGCAGATTTGGACGATATTGATACAATTAGTAACGCATACGAAGTCCTATTCAATGGTGAGTAGCGAAAACTTTAGAAACATTGCCACAACCTTTCGTCAAAGTTTAGAGACTATTCTTTAAAAGTTTTCCTTATTTGGATGTGATTGCTATTTGAATATAATCAGTATTTAATCAGCAAACTATGATATAGTGATTATCTCGACATCTATACAATGCAATGGTTATTTCAGAACTTGGAACCAAACAGAAGTCCAAAATTGTTCCGTCACCAAAACCAACTGAAGGAAGTCATCTGCTGGGTTAGTAATGAATATTTTGAATGTTTGACATTAATGTTTTTTTATGCATTTCTATATTGCTTGTTGCATTACAGGTTATTTGATTGCTATACCTTGAAAACACAAATATCGCACATTTTTTTAAAAATAAATTCACCGCTACGGCACGTTTGTATTTTTTGTTCCTTTTTTAAACATAATGCACGCTTCATATTTTATATTTCACAATGCATAAAGGTAAGTGGCACTTATATATGTGTATTCATAAATATTCGGACGAATGAAAAGTCTTCAAAATGTTTTTAGCCATAGATGCAGACGTTAGGCTGGAAGAAGAGCTAAAGCATTTGATGACGAGGGTGAAGCGAAATGTTAACGAAAAATTCGAAAATAAACGCAAGAATAATGGCACGGTAAAATTTTACCACACTGTGGATGAATTGAACGAAGGTATAATCAATCAACTTTAGATATATTAAATTAATGTACGAGTTACATGATAAGTTTGATGCTTCAAGTATTTTCTTTTTTTTTATAGACACGTTAAAGAATTCAAATATCTCTGGAACAATAGAAGCAACGAAAGTGGTAGGTGTTAAGGTACCAAAAATATCAAGGAGAACTAGTGCAATGGACAGCAAAAATGTAACAGGCATTAGCGATTTACATATCGAATTTAATCAACCAAAAGATTACGATCACCAAATAGTTGATAATAAAATTGATTCTCCAACACACATCGGTAATAAATTGAATGTACTAAATCACGAGGAACTAAAATTGTTAGGCAATTATACACAAAGTACCAAAGATAAAGACCTTTCAAAACTAATCGTAAATGAACTAAAGAAAGGTTCTGAAATCATCGGTGATAAGAGATCTGTTCCTGTATCAAATATCACGTTTACACCGGAAAATGATACTTTGACTGCGATGGCATTTATTGCTGGAAATCTTTTAAGCAAACTTTGGAAAATAGAAGAAGATTCAGGTATAGGATCAAGAGAAACGGAGATATTGAAACATGAGAAAATTGCCGATCTGCTCGAGCTATTCAAAGAACCTCTTACCATGAGGCAAGAAGCGTTCATAAAAAATGCTTTGGAAAGACTTTCTAAGGTTGTGAGCAAAGAAAATGTAATTAAAAATAACTCTTTATGTGAAACGTTAGCTTCGTCAGAAGAACTTTTAAGAAATTTGAGTAATTTACACGACGAGACTGTAAGAGGAATACATGTAAAGTGTAAAAGTCACCAGCAAAGTGATAATAAACAAGGAAACGGTACCATTGAGGCAATTACGAAATTAAATAATGTATTAAATTTAATAAATAAATACGAAAATATTCAGAAAAAATTACACACTCTAAGAGACGGACCTCAAGCCGATATTACAGATGGTTATTTTAGAGAAAATTTTAAAGAACATCCTGATTTAACTTTTACAGAAGATGAGGGGAAATCGTTAAACTTGTTCGGTAGCCTGTTACAAAAAATAACTAATTTAATTTTACCCAAGAAAAATAAAAGTCATAAAAGAATAATGTCGAAAATAACACACTGGAATATTTTTGGTAACTCACCAGATTTTGAAAAAGAAATAAAGGAAATCATTGGCCTCGATTCGCATAATTTAACACTAACATTTAAAGACAAATTGATTCTAGATTATCTTCACATTTTAAAAACAAATCCGGGATGTTTTTCTAAAGCAATGTTGCAAAAAGAATCAACAAATTCATTTCCAAAGTTTGAGGGCAGTGCAATAGATAATATTATTAAACTTTTAAAGGCACAGTCATTGCAAGCCCTTGTCGAATCTGTATCGCCAACAAGTGATAATACCAAGAATACATTTACGACTGAAACAGCGGTCATTGTTGGCACGGAGAAAAATTTATTTTTGAGAAATAACTTCAATAAAGAAAATGACACATTGAAAACAGTTAAAGACAGGTTTAAAGAACATTTGAATGCAATCTTAGAGGACTTAATTGAGATTCAAAATCAGGAAGATATTTCAAATGAATCGAATAAAAGCGCTTCAGATATTTTACCATGCATTTATAAACTTTTAAATTCTGATAAAAATGAAGCAAGGGTGACAGTTAAAAATTTAAAAGAACCGAATCTTGATAAAATAACGTATATGTTTGAATCGCTTCAAAATAATCTTAAATTCAGTTCACAGACACGCAGGAGTGACTGGTATTTTGCGGACGCGCCAAAATCTTCGAAAGTCTGGGAACGTATTATTAAGAATTTAAGCAATAAAAATAAAAAGAATACGCGTAGAAACTATGGTGATTTATCGTTCACAAAGCTTAAAGAATTGATTGATAATATTGATTTATCCGCGAGCACTTACAAACAATATGTGAACTTGGCAAACATACCAGTGTCAAGTCACTTTATCCTATTAAAAGCACTTCATGCTAGTGTTCAACAAGTAGCTGTTGTTTTGAAAAAGATAAAGTTATTTACAGAGAATGTAATAAATCCTTCAACAGAAGAACGTTATGAAATACAAAAGTTCGTAGATGACGCTGCACGGACGGTTAATCTAAGTGATAAAATATTAGGGAAATTAAAATTATCTAATACTAATACGAATACAAATGATCATAGTGTTTTTGAAGCCAAAGAGATGCCAATCTATAAACATTCAATGAAAGCGTTCGAAGAAAACATCAATGAAAACTCTTTCAAGCTGACTAGAGAGCAAATATTTATCCAGCTTATAAGGAATCGTATCCAATTATACTTGAGGCTTAAAGAAGCTAAAGGTTTACAATTAAACCAAGACGTTAGTTACAACGTAGCTAGAAAGATTATGTCCCATTTAGCAAGTGGGAATATTAGTTTGGCGAAGGAACTATTCTCTGCATTTATAGAGAATTCAGGAAAAGCGCCGAGCAGCAACAGTTCACCAAATTACTTCGAAGGTAAATTAAGTACAGTATGGTTTTACTCTCTTTATATCTTTATTCAGTTATATTTAAATTTCTGTAAAACAATATATAGAGATTGAGTCAAAAAGTTAATAAGGTGCATTCGGCTAATTCCGTAAATTGGGATATTCTGATAATCACAATTTTTATTATGAAATACGGCAATAATTTTGCTCTGGAAACGTTCCAACGCCATCTTAGGATGGCGGTTAGATGAAACGCAAAATTGTTGTAAAAGTCCATGGGCGGCGGTTATCACTTAACATCAGGTGAACCGCCAGCTCGTTTGTCACTTTCTCACATAAAAAAAATTATTTACAAAACTTTCGCTTTCAGCATCATCAAATTCGAATAACCGCCCGAAAAAGACTCCAAGTGAAATATTTAACACATTTGAAAACGATAATCGGATGTCCGACGTGGAGTTAAAAATGCACGATAACTTCTTAAAACAATTACTGAAATTAAAAACTATGAACGCGTAATACAATTTTATATTTACCTCGAATCTTTTACAGTTTTTTACTTTTATTAAACGTTTTATATTAAAACTTGTTTTTTATTTATTACGTATTAACGTGGAGGTCGGGTGGTAGTCGCTATTACCCTATGTTACAGAGGCCTTTGCCCAGCAATGTTATATAATTATATAGGCTGTGACATTACTTTATTTACTTCTACCTATTAGTTAATTGTGTTCATCGGCCTTAAACGGGGCTTGCGGGGATAATTTCCACTAACACTGAGTTGGTGGTCATCGTCACGTTAGGACAAAGCTGTTTCATTGAATTACCAACAGTTTTTGCTGTTGCCATCAATGGGCAGGCGCGACCGGGGTAGTATCACGGCCGCACAGGACGGCGCGAAGAAATACTCCTAGTATTAAACTTTCGCGTTTCGTCTGGCGAGTGAGGTAACGGGGGCATATTTTAAATGTCGTCAGCTCTGCAAGCCATCGGATGTTGATGCCACTATTTTGAAGAAACGTGGAGCGGGACCCGTGCGCCATGCCTTTCATTTAGTATAGTTATTTTAAATACTAAATAAAGTAAATAAAACGCATACTTCATATAATTCACTATTTTACATCGAATTTCAATTGAATACATAATTTTTCCAAAAATATTAAATGAAAGTTTTGTATTTAAATCCTTACCTTATACCATTTTATTAAAAGAGAAAATAAAAATATTATTGCACACGTTCTTTCTTGCAAATCCAATGAAAATGTGTGGATTCAACATAGTTATTAGTTACTTATCTGTCGGCTGAATAGTAAATGGACACGGTTCAAGGAATTTAAATTGGACAATTAATTATTGGAAAATTAATAGACAAATAAAAAATTACATAATATCGGTTCATCTAATGAAAAGGTAAAATTGGTAAATTTAGTAAAATCAATGCAACCTAAATTAGGAGTGCATTAAAATTACTACATTGTTAATGAGAAATTATAAGTGAAAAAATATTTAACATTTTATTGATTTTTAAATACTGATTTACATTTAGACTATTAGCTAAAACAAACGAAGTAAACGATAAATCCTTTGCTTTTAATGTTTAGTCTTTGTCAATTTGGAATTTCTAGCATCATTCACTTTACCTTTTAAATAGTTAGGAATGATGTTTCTTATACGATTCATGAAGTTGGAAAATTTCACAGATGATCGTTTGCGTCTAATAAAGGTGGTGTTTATGTAATTTTTTTGCATGTCCTCTTTCTGAACAAATTGTTTGTTTCCATATTTGATTTTATCTTTCAACATTTTCTTAATGTCCTTTTTTGTATGTTTCAGTATTTTTTTAAATTGCTGCATAAAAGAATCTTTTTTGGCTCTTGGTTTCAACGTCGTTTGAATGCCTGTGTCTCGTGCAATATTACTGTTTTGCAATTCAAAAATCTCTTTAATTTTTCTACTGATTATATCTATGTCTTCCGTGATCCTAGATGAAAGTTTGCCGATCATAAGATCGTCGGTTATAAAAGCGTGTCTGCGCCTAAGAGACTTTATTAAAGATAGCGCATCATCTATTTTGCAAATGTCCCTCATTATTTCGAGATGCAGTATCTTCATGTTGAACAAACGATCCGAGAAGCGACTGGAAGCCATGTTTCTTGTCATTTTATACCATTTAATACCGATGTCTTTTAGCATTTCGATGACTTTAGCATTCGAATCGAATATTCGAAAGTTGTATTGAGTGAAATCATCACGATGATATTTTTTAATAACACGCATCATAATTTTGTGTGCGCTCAATGATAGGGGAGCTAATGCGTTAGTTTGAGGCATATCTTTGTCAATAGCAATAAGCATTTGTTTTAACACATCCATCGCCTGAGATTGAAGTATTTTGTTTGTATTAACCGTAAAAGCTTTTCTGCTAGTGTGTTTTAGGATTTTTTCAATTTCTTTCTGTACATGTCGCTTTCCTTGCTCGTGGACGTAATATTTCATTGCTCGAATTAGAACTTTCAAATCATCGGGCAATGACTTAAAATCGGTGCTGTTTTGTATACTAATTATATCTTTGATAACTTCAGAGATGTCGTTTTTTAATTTTGATACAGGTTCATCTACGTAATTAGTTTTTTTCGTTTTAACATTGTCACCGTCGAAATTCGATGCAAATACTATTTTGTTTACAGTAAGATAAGATTTACTGGAATTGTCGTACACAGCGAGACTAAAGTTTGAAAAAGTTTCATTCTGTAAATAAGTTTTCATGAACTTCATAAGATTTCCTCTCATACGATCTAGTTGCCTCAGTTCATTGCGCTTATCGTGGATGATGTAAGATAACGGATCTAATACATTCTCTTTAAGACTTTGAATGGATTTATTGTAATTATCCAGTGATGGTGTCGCTTCGTTATTCGTAATTACGTTTGAAATTTCCCTTTTAACTACGTGTACTGTTTGCCTGTCAAAAATATCGTTTGTTTCGCTAATGTCAGGGATACCATCCCCTTTTGTGCTTCCACCAAAAGTAGTTAATTCTGAAAGTTGGTAAAAACAATGATCTGTATTCAATTATGCATGGTAGATTAACTTTTTAAGTTTTTTATAATTCTATCAGGTGTTTTTTCCATTTAAATAATTAATAATAATTGGAATATAAACAAATAACCACAACGCCCAAACTACATGATATGAATGATTTTTTAAAAATTATAAGAACTTGTTCGTCGAAAAAAAAAAAGATATATGTTACTTTTTTACCAAGTAAACAATTTGTAAATACCATTAAGACCTTTGCCCAAACTTGTATAAAAAATCATTTTCTTTTCATCTTTTTGGGTGGAATTTTGTGCAAATTCTTTTGAAACTTTTTCTTCACTGCCTAACATGTTTTCAATAGTTTTGTTTAAGTCGTTGCTTTGTGTCGTGTTTTCGTCCGGGGTATCCATATAGTCTGGGTCCAGTATATCTTCGGTGTGTTTTTTCAACATTGGCAAATGTACTTTTGTGCTGTTATTATGAGATGTGCTCTCTTGGGCTGGGAACAATTCATCGAAATCCAAGTCTGATTCATTTTGAGTTTCTTTTCTCTCTGTGGTGATTAACACTGAAATTGTATCAATCATTAACTTTGTTGAAAGTGGTGCATAGTTTAGCTTAGAAGGCAGTCGATTACACAGGACATTTGAAAGTGTAGACACCAATTGTATTTATAAAAATGTCATTTTATTTGCCACATTTGTAGAAGATGGTTTGTATTCGTTATAGTGTTTTTTGGATACGAAAGGATGGAGATGGAAAGAATGTTTTTTTTTTAAAATTTTTGGTCAGATGTTGACACAAAGAGAAATATAGGACATCTCTTTGTTAAATTTGGTCTATAATTCGGTGCATAATTGCGCGCAGCGTAGGTGCCTAATGTTGTACTTATTATTGGCTAGTATTAAAAGACAAAAGACTTATGCCGGCTTATTATTGTTTTTTTTTCTGTAATAAGTTGTTGCTGGTGATCGCTTACCTTTATTGTGGGCATAAAAATTGTAATTTACAACAAAGTATATTTTATTAAATACATTATAATAATATACAGGGGCATAGTTCAAAATAGAAAAGGCTCACTTGTAGATTCTATACTCTCTGTTGCGCTGTTCCATTCGTTGTCGAACATTGGATCATCTATATCGTTGGTAATATTTTTAGGATTGCCCGTAACATTAATTACCGGTGGAATGGAACGATTGGGCCCATTAATCAATGACATAATTTTTTGTGACGTCAGTCTTTCCTCTCTTTCTTCCACTTTTGTTACAGACGTCTCGTTTCTGGATCGCTTTTTTCTTACGTGGGCGTCGATTTGATCTGGAAATAACATTTTTAAAGGATAGATGTTTTTTTTATTCTTTCATATACGGCTGTTTACATTGTATAATACCATGTAAATTACACTTAATCGTGGTAGATCTCACCTAGCTCAACCGGCAAGAACGCTGGCTACCTTTCACCGCTGAATAGTTACACTTTTTAGAGAGAAAAGAACCAGTCCTCTTATCACCAGCCGCAGCAATAAGTCGTGGCAATTAATGTTTCAGTTCATAATAACAGATTTTATTAACGACAAGTCAATTTTTACACTAACGAAAAACAAAACCGACTTCAAATGTCTCGCTCTGTATTCGTTTTATAATTGATTTACAGAAGTTTTCTACGTATCTCCGGAGCCAAAGATGAAATACCGATGAAATTAACATGGGACCACTTGGGAAGCACCAGCATTCAAATAAAAAGAGAATCATGAAAATAGGTTCATTCAGTCGAAAATTCTGAGGTAACAAACATAAAAAAAAATACAGTTTGAACCTACTCTTTTTTTGAAGTCGGTTAAAAAGGTCTATAGTGGTGCGCTTCCAACATTAATTTAAGGTGATGTAAGCCGAAGTGTCTGATAAACGTCAATCGCTTTTTCATTTCTTTCAGTTCAGCTCTGAAAGAAGTGAAAAAGATACAAATTGACCTTCGTCTTCACTATTGGGACATTCTTTTATTCTTTAAAAAAAAGCAGTCAACGCATTTCCCCATAATTATGACGGTACATATTTTTTAATAGGCAAATATGAAAATTACCTGGAAGTAATTAAATAAACATTAAAGTGAAAACTTTAAACAAAAAATGGTAATCGCACTCAGAACTAAATGTGATTTTTTTTTTCTTCTGTTGACCTATTCTATATGAATTATGATACTTTCATGACCAATCCTGAACCACCGTGTGAGAGAAGAAGGTGTGAGTAAGAACTATTAACATTTAAGCATAAGACACTCACTCATATTTAAATTTTCTATGACCCCCACAAGCACTCTGTGGTCTACTTTCAAAGCGGCATCCGCTCGGCACCGCTGGGTGTCCAAACAATTCCATCTACCCGCAGCATCGCAGTCGCATTTTCTACACCCTAAGCACATGTTTTCTAAAAGAAAATATTTTGGTTTGAAAATGGACTTCTTAGCTATTACTAAGATGGTTGAATAAAACTGTTCTACGAACTTTGTCGTGTTTTTTTTTTTTAATTTGAAATCCCTGATGTCTATATTAATGCTGTAGTTTACCTCATGGTAGGAATCGCGTAAATAATTGTAGTACTAAGATGATCCTAATTGATGTTCCAAAAACACCTTTTATATTACTAATGTGTCAGAACGCCGTTTCTCCTTCTTCACGAATGACCCATACTGACCTCGGAGAAGATGGGCGTAAAATAAAATTATATTTATTTTTTTGTTTCGTCTGTCCTCGTAAATGTTGAAAATAAGCCTACAACGCTGAGGCGTTTACACTTTCACCACAAGAGGGCATCCACACCACCTACACAGCGTTCCACAACAGCACGATTTTCAAGGCGTTTCCTGTATCGCACAACCACTCTGTGGAGCCAGCTGCCGTCGGCGGTCTTTCCTATAAGAGTTCTAACGATTTTACCTTGATCCTAATATTTTAACTATTACTGAACTTGAATATTATCAATTATTATAACAACCAGCAGAGCTATTGATTATAACACTGTCCGGGACCGCAGCCGAAATCCCAATGACCGCTGCTCCATGCGACCATGTGTCCCTTGGCTCGAGTAGATAACGTCATATCCGGTATACAGCGTTGCCAGCGCCAACATTCCGAACCGTTACGACCTGGGAGCCTTCAAGAAGAGAGCTCCTAATGAGCTATCATCACTGAACATGAGGTGAACCGCATGCTCGTTTGCCCGTTTTATTCATAAAAAAATACACTGACATCTCCGTCAAACAGAACTGAAAAACTATTGGCGTAATAATTAGCATATCCATGTGCCAGATAAAACGGAATACAAATAAATAAATAAATAAACATAAACATTCAAATAACAACTAACAATTAACGACAGAGTCACTTAAAACGAGTTTCGGTCTACAATTTATTGTATACCGCAAAGTAATATCAACTTTCTCACGCACGTCTCATGGATATCGGGAGGAATTTAAGCATTGTGTGAGCGGGCAAACAGTAAACACGCGGGGTGTGAAACCAAACAACTTGTTGTACTCACGTTTATGGCAGTCGGTGTAATGCGATATGTACGGAATGCATTCGCCGGCCGCGATTGATTCTGCAATCGATGAAAAATCATTTAGTTTCTGGAAACCTAATTCCCAACGGCGAACTTACCAAGCAGTCTAGGACGGACTTTTTCAAACTTTGTAATTTTCATAAATTACAAAGTTTGAACACCTAACACTTGAATGTGCTTTAGTTTCCTTACGTTCCCATTGCTAGGTAAATATTTTGGCAAATATAAATAATTCTGACGTTGGCGTAAATCAATTAAAATAAATTTAAAACGATAGAGAAAAATCACTAATGAATAAATCCACAAGCAGAATTCTTTGGTCACTTATTGTTTTCGAGAAAGTAAATATTTAAAACTTGTTATTTTCACTAAGAAAGTTCGCCATTTTATTAAATTGACCACAAAAACACGATATAAAGTTCTGCCAACATGATTAATATAGGAAGCGGGCGACGTCATACTCGTATCGATAGTTCGATTTTTTTTGGGTCACAGAAGTCAAGTTTTAGCTGGCCATCGCAGTGTAGGACGACCCCCTACTAGATGGAGTGACGACCTGTGCAAGTGTGCGGGAAGTCGATGGATGCAGGTGGCTCAGGATCGTACTTCGTAGCAGTCTATGGGGGAGGCCTATGTTCAGCAGTGGACTCAAACGTGGCTGAAATGATGATGATGATGAGTCACAGAACCGACACAGAGCGAATCTTTTTAGCGAATTTTTTGTTTTCGACTTTTCGAATTCTTTCAGCTTTGATCAGATAAACATCATATGACAAATTGGGATAATTGACATTCTATAATGTCATACTTAATCCAGGTTACCGTAATCTCTTTGATTATTTATCTATTTCGGTCCTATCTATGCAGGAGTAAAATATATTTTTTGAATATGTTCACAATACATTTAGTAACAAAAGTCACTTACTACTTACTATAAACTACACAAAGATTTGGTTAAAAAATGTTCTATACCACCTTGTTCTGTCAGTTTAAACAGTAAACCGTCAACTTCAGCTTTCAAAGCGGTATTATCATTCGTGAAGTCAGTTTGTTCTTCTTTTAATATTTCATCTGTTTCCTTGTGATATGCACACAACGCGTTGTCCATTTTCAGACAGTTTGAATCGTCGCATATTGTGCAGTGGTGCGGAATCGACTGGCGGTATATTGGGTTCGATTCCGGATAGTGAAACACTCTTCGGCTGTCAAATTTTGCTGCTAGCACACCTTAAAACAATTGTAACGTTTGAGTTATGTACTTTTAAACTATGCATCTAAAAGGTTGCAGTGTTAAAGAAATTTAATTCATCATCGACGTCATTTAAGCCCATACAGATATTTTCTTACGCTTATATAAATCCACTATTATTGCAGTGATATTATCTTGACGTGTTAATATATTATCTGTACCTTTTTCTTTCATTTATAAAATTGACAACTACTATGCTACTGATTAATGATTATAAAAACATTATAATCACAGACCTAAGACAAATTAAAATAATCCGTAACCTTGTTTTATTTTACAAGGCTTTAACTGTGTTAGCTGAAAGCCATTCAGCATGTAATGTCAGGGATCTGACTGAGTAGTGTGCTTACTGACGCATATTGTTCAGCAGCGGGCACTGATTCGGATTGATGATGACAAACATAGCTTCGTTCTTCTCTTCACCAACTGACAAGAATATCACCATTAAGAAAACATTTCCCTCTGTCCTCGTCTGCCTTTACGTTTGAGAAATAAAGTTCTAATTTACTTGATCTTCATTCAGTATGGAAATATGTTGTTTTTTCCGGTATTAGTATACGTAACAGATAGGTACGAATAAAGGAATTGTGCTACAAAAATCGTTAAAATTATTCAGGAAGTAAATAGTCTCACCGAAGGCGGCGCTAATGTTGATCAGGTAAACGTACGGGCGGCGCATTGCAAAGCTATGACGCGGTAACAATGCTGTATCGGATTTCGCAACAACTCCGATGTGTTTATTGAAAAGCGCTTTTTTTAATGGACCGGACTCTTAGCGAGACAAGAAATGTCCAGACATGTCTTGACTTTTATTTTGTCTATTGAACTAGTCCCATTATCAAAATTTTTGGTGGTGTCACGAACACAAGTTTTATTTTTAAAGCCTTTTTGATCAGAAGTACTGAACAGTTTTGATAAGGTACTCCGAATTTACGCCTTTTAGAGATTTAGGCATTGAGCTGACGTGAAGTATGTTTAATTTTTGATTAGAAGTGAAGTACTAAGTAAATTGTGTACGCTTTTTATCTTTCTTATGTGCTATATTAGGTTCAATAAATTGGGCCAGTTCATGGCCATGGTTATGTATTAAAACAAACAATTAGGTACCAGCAGATTTACTGCAATCAGCCATTTAGCTCAATGGTTAAAGAGTCTGGTCGTGATTGCGGAAAACGTAGGTTTGATTCACGTAGCGGCGAAACACTTTTAATAATTTTTTTCTATAAATTTTTTGCCTTTGCTATTGCAGTTTAAATTTATATTCAGTTTTTATAGTGCAAGGCGTGAAGAAGTGCTTAAATCAGTAATTATATTCGTGTTATGATGGATTTAACGAAGATAATGAGGGAAATGGCCGGGGAAGCTAAGAGATCTACAAAAAATCCACATCATCTGGGCAATGGGCCAATAAGATTTTTAACTAAAAGTGTATGTATAAACGGCATTAAGATATAAGACCCGCTCAACTTAACATAAAACCGGCACAAAATTGTTAAATTTAAATTAAACTTGCAACCTGTTACTTAACGGACTATTTACACGCATGAAGAATTAAGTCAAGATTTGGTTAACTGAAAAATAGTTAACTACTTAATCGTTCGATACGTATAAATCGGGCATAAATAAATCGGAAGTGTAAACATTCCCACGCCGATCCCCTGTAAGGCGTGGTATTCACTGCTTGAGCTAGCTCATTCATGCAGTAGCCATTGCGACGCATCACCAGCTAAGTTTCTGGAGGCGAGTGCGGCCCTGTTCGTGAAATGTGAATTTCTCGCGTGTTTACAAACAGGCACCGGGCGATGGCGGCAGCATTGTTACGCGGCCGCGTAATACGGCTCCGACCGCGGCCGAGAGAATGCTACTGCTGCTACTCTTGTTGCATAACGCGATCGCCTCCGGTGAGTGAGGCGTCACTGCCACTTGTTTCTTACCGCTTACAGAAGTTACCGTAGCCTGGTTCGAGATACGAGCAGAAACTTACTGTCGTACCTTTAGTTTGCTCGGGCAGTTGGCCTTGTTCCCTTATATGTACGGTGGTAGGGACACGCAGCAGCCTCGGCTGTTGCACGAATGGGCAGGCCCGTCCGGGTAAGTACCACGACTTCACAGAAGACCAACGTAAAGTGGAAGTATGACAAATACTTTCGCGTTTCGTCTGGTGAGTGAGGTAGCCGGAGCCCAGTTTTCAAACTGTTGTCAACGCATCTGTAACCTTCGGATGTAGCAGATGTCCATGGGCGGCGGTATTCACTTAACATCAGGTGACCCGTCTGCTCGTTTGCCAACTTTTGGCATAAAAAAATATGTGTTCTGTTTCTTCACGGACTGGCGTTTTGGATTCAAATTCAATGGATTTGTCGCTTTGTCTTAATCTTTAAATTTATCAGTAACAACTGTGTTTAAAAGTGATAGTAACCCTGGGATCGTCTATTGGCAATGTTTTGAGATGTACGATATGGACTTTTTTATGTGAGAAGGTGGCAAGCGAGCTGGCAATTTACCTGATTTTAATTGATAACCGCCCCCAATGGAGATTTTCCACACCTGTAGGGTTGCAGATGGGACTTTTTGATGAAGTGGGGCCCGGCTACCTCATTAACCAAATGAAACGCAGAAATATAATAACACATCCATTTCGTGCCGGTCTCCTGTGAGTTCGCGGTACTTACCCGGATGGATGTGTCCATTCGTTCAACAGCGTAGACTGTTGCATGGCCCTACCGCCATTATATCTTCTATTAATAAATTCAAGCAATGATTGATTATATCCATTCGATCCTAATTTTCAGACTTCAGTGAAGATGCGAATTATACACTTAAGCGCATTTCCTCATGTCCGGATGAAGGTTACTTCTTCCAGCAGGCCTTCGGGTTGAACGAATTGGATCCCTCGCTCTGCTATATCTGTTTCTGCAAAACAGACGGTATCGCAGTCTGCTGGCGGAGAAGCGGCTCACGGTGCGATAGGAAGTCGCACAGGAGTGAGGATAGAAGGTTTGATACAATCTGTATATGAGACATCTTTGTCTAATTTTTCTACACAGCCCGGTGGGATGTAATCGAACATAACACAAATTAGGTTGAACTCGAAGAAACCGAAATAACATTGGGGATATGAATACACTGGGATTGTTTACGTTGTTATGGAATTGAAGAAGCTGAAGGAAGTAAATGCTTACTATTGTACATCGTGTACAATTATAAGCAGGAGTGCAGTAAAAGATTTACTGATATCAAAATAAGTGCAAGCTGTTTTAACTTCATGTGTGGATGGAGAGATTTATGAAGGTCTTGTAATTGTATTGTCAAATGAAGATATAAGTGTCATACAAACTGTGGTAGTGATGCGCAGCAGCCTCGGCTGTTGCACGAATGGGCAGGCTCGTCCGGGTATACTTACCCGGTACTCCACGACCTCACAGAAGACCGGCGTCAAGTGGAAGTATACTTTCGCGTGTCGTTTGGTGAGTGAGGTAGCCGGAGCCCAATTTTCAAAAGGTCGTCAACGCATCTGCAACCCTCGGCTGTAGCTGATGTCTATGTGCGGAGGTAAAAAATTAAGAAATAATTTAATTTTAAATAATTTTTTAAAATAATTTTTTTAATAAAATTAAAAAAAAAAAAAAACAGCCCGCTGAGTTTCTTTCGCCGGTTCTTCTCAGTACAGTGGCTTTCCTTTCCGAACCGGTGGTAGTGTTTTGACTATCAATAAGCGAGTGTAATGCTCCTATGTTGAATAAAGACATTTGATTTTGATTTTGGTATTCACTTAACATCAGGCGAACCACCTGCTCGCATGGCAACTTTTCACATAAAAAAAATGCAGAAAAGCTTTTGTTTCGATTTCAGAGTTTATAGGCCTCGACGCAGCTCAGTGGTTACGGAAATACCTCAGAAAAACTCTCCTGCAAAGTGTAAGAAAAATATCTTATACTTTTTTTTACAAATTTAATTTAGCTCGTTAATATTATTCCGACCCAAGAAACTTTTGTCATCTTATGATATTTAGCAACAGTTGTACGGTCTAGGTCGCTTTAGACTTACAAAAGTAGTAGTCTTAAACGAAATATATTTATATAAACCATCGCGACGAACGGACATATTTAATTTTATCATTAACACATAACCTGCCAAAGTTTTGCCTCAACGTGACCTGTCGCCCATCTACCGCTACAAAGGTGTCGTAGTGGTTTTTGAACGAAAAGCGCGCATAAAGCTTTAGGAGCGCCATTTTAATTTAAATCTACGGCCATAGTAGTCCAGTAGTCCAAACCCAAGGTTCTACAATAATTATACTATTTAATTTTCTGCAAGACGATTCCGGAAACATGTGATGTTCAATGGTTTAATTGCATTGTATGTAGACACATGAATATTAATAGACACAGATATAAGGAAAGGTTAAATATGTTTTTTTGTATACGAAAGAATTGACATGCCATTTTTTAGCTAAAATAAGTTTTTCGACAGACTGTCTCAATATGTACTGTATTGCTTTTACGAACATTTTTTTAGTTTACAGCCAACGATCTTCATATGACTGCAAACCCATTGGATCCAGTCTGAGCAAAGGTTGTCCTCCTGGTAAATATATGCAGTTTTTCAGCTTTAATTCATTTTTAAGTTGCTCTTCATTCTTCATAGCAGTCCTTTACCAAATTTATACCAAAATTATATCCCTTTGAAATGCTAAAACTTAAATTATTCCAGATGACTGGTGCCTCGGATGTACACTTTGCGACTGCGATGTCTCAGGCCGTTGGAGTTGTCATATATTGAGTTTTTGTTCAGACAGTATGTATACATGATAATATGTGATTATTGGTTTGCATTAATTTAACTTGTGGTTTTACTATGTTTTTGATTTTGACAATTACATTGATAATTGTCAAAATAAAAACTGATGGCTACGAGATGAAGGTGGCAGTAGGTTCTCAGATAAAGGATAGTTTAAAAAAAATCGCGCGATTTCATTTAAAAGAATAAATGATTCCATTAGTTTGCTAAAATGAAGAGTTAACTGTTATTACTCAATTCATACTAATATTACAGAGAAAGCGCCGAAGCAGATAGAAAACCGCAACGACACACTCAAGCGGCGACCAGTAAAAATACATCCGAAGGCAAATGTGAATACAAACACCCCAAAAGTACATAAATATGTAAAGAAGCTGCACACAAGTCATAAATGTAATAAATGCCTGAAATCATCGAGTCACGAATTCTCAATGGCGAAACAAGAGTTTGGTCTGCCTAGACACGACGACACTGTGGTTGTAATCGAAAAGGACCTCGTGGGAAGAACACCGATGGAAGTTCAAGGTGTTAGAGTTAAAAAGGTTATACACGACAACAGCTCTAATATTAAGCTGGCACACAAAATAGTACAGAGAGCGATGGCCGCTGTGCATAAGATAATCAACATGAACGAGAGAAATTCCACGAATGTCACGAAACTCTTCAAAGTCCTTCAGAAGCGTTCTATGTCGTTGCGTGACGATTATGCAAGCCACCAGTCGGATTATATGAGTCCACATATGTATAAAAAGCCGAGCCCAAGAAGGTTTAGAAAGAAGATCTCCGTAAATAACATTAAGATTGATAATAATTCAGGTAGAAAGAAACGAGTAAGACGGAACATTCCAAATGAAGGTAATCTTTATTAATCGAACTTAGACACGAGATATAGTGTATTTCGAAAAATACCGATAAAAAATAATTTTCAATTAAAATCGTTATAATTTTGCTGTTAGTTGCTTTTATATAAAATACTAGCGGGCCAGATAGACGTCCTGTACACACGTCTTAAATTCGAAAATTTCAAACTTCTTTGAATAACTTTGTGAATCTAAACCATTCTCGAATCCACCTGAAAACGCACATAAATTAAAATTTCATTAAAATCGGTCCAGCTATTTAGGAGGACTTCAGTGACAAACACACATACAGAAGAATTATATATATAACGATAATAACTTCTTTATATTCAGATAACACCGATAGATTGCATGTAATATTACACAATTCAAGCGATAGCTGAATATGATTTTTTTTTATTTTCGTAGGTAATGCAACTCAAGGAAGGATTCCGAGAGATTTTAACAACTCTTTGAGCGAAACGCCACTTAATGAAGAATCTACGATACGGCAGTTAAATAAATATGAGTATGTCAGGTATAACGTCTTCACAGATAGAAATTCAAATATTATGAAAATAAATAAAAGTGACGTAGACGAAACAAGAACCGCTGCTGAAAATAACCTAAATTCTACCTTAACTAAATTAAGTAGTTCTATGGATGACCAGAAAAATAACACCTTACTTACCTATAATTTGAAAAACAAAACGGAATTAAATTTGAATATAAAGCAAACGAAAAGCAAACTTTGCAGAATATTCACGGGGAAATCAAGTTTTCTAGAAGAAAATGAGAAAAAGAAGCCAACGGATAATGAATTTATTACTTTAATTGATGTGATGCTAAATAGGCAAGAAATTCCTGTCTTCGATTGGTTGAAAAGGCCAAATTTTCAGACAAACATATCAAGAAAGTTTAATTTTGTTACATATCTAAAGAGGCTTTTAAACAAAACGTTCACTAATACTAAAGGTAAAGATCTGACATATAAAAATAATAAGCTGAAACTTCTCAGAAAACAGAACTTGTTAGATATATTTTGTAATGAAAACATGACATGTAACGTTCGCCCGCAAGATGAGATAAAATTGCAAATGAAAATAAATGATCTAAATGGGGAAATGTATAAAATATTAGAAACTATTAAAATAATCAAAAAAATATTACGAAAAATAGAATTAATCGAAAAACACCAGCAGTTAAATTATGAATATGCACAATTAAACTTTCGTAACGCTGTCTATGTTCCTAAGGAGCCAAAGATGACTGGCATAAATAAGAGGCAACTGCAATTATATTATTTAAAAGATAGCTTTAACAATTTTTTAAAATCTATTGATAAATTCTCTCTCGTTCTTTATGATATACTTAGTATTTTAACAGGGCAAGATTTCTCTAAAAAATCTGTTCACCGACCCTTACGTTGTACCAAAGTAAATACAATGAGTAATAATAATTTAAAAATTGCAAAAGTAGAGCAAAAATTCGCGAAACTGAAAATGATGTTAATCAATTATAACGTGCTTCAAAACAGGTTTATTAAAACGATTTATGATACGTTGAGCAACTTGGAATCGACTTTAACTAATGATGAAAGGGAGAAAAAAAATAAAATGTCTGGTAAAAAGGTCGGAACAGATGTGAATAACAGTATCTCCGCAGTGGAAATATACTCGAAAAATATAATTGAAAATCTGAGAAAGCTAAAAAATTTGGCACTAAAATTATCAGCGGCACACAGAACTAAAAGAAGCACTATGAGGGACGACGATGCTATTGAATATTTGCTAATGCTCATGGAATATCTACTGAAACAGAATTATCCATTAGATGCCGCCCCAGGTAAAGGGTTAACTTTTTTTCTATCTTAATAATTCCATAATAATGTTTCATTCAATGTCAGTTGCATCGAAACATAAGGTAGTAAATTCATGCAGATATATTGGTGCCAATAAAGCAATCTGATATTTTAAGCCTGTATTCGATTTTATATTTTGGATTTAGTCTAAATAATTACTGCAACTTGTTTCAGTTAACGACGGAATTGATCTGTTGATAGACGCAATTAAGCATGCACCCGACATCAAGCCGATAAAGAAAAAAGTCCTTCACAGTCCGATGACAAGAGTGCCAGTTAGTAGGACGACACCAAGAGTGACGGCTGAGACTTTTTCATACGTCGATAACATTTATGGAATAGATAGCTTAGAGAAAGATGTTAATGATACCTCTCATTCCGAAGATAATCAAGTAATTTTCTCACCAGTCATTGATGGAGATGACAAAATGGAAGATTTTCATAAGTTACTTCAAAATTCAAAGAAAATTAGCAATCCCTTCAAAATGTTAAAAATTAACACCGGTCGTGATCACGGTCAGTTAGATTTCATGACTACAACATCAACATCTATTATCACCACTACTCCATTGATTAGGTACGATTTTTATAAAGAGAATACTGCCAGGCCAGTTGAGATGGTAACATCCATTAAAACTGACAAGCATTCCGATGAAGATGAAAAATACAATAGCGTGGAACATATTAAATCCAATAAAAATGAAGCAGATCGTAAAATACAAAGTGAAATTGAAGAATACTCATCCAATTTGATACTTGTAACGGAGCCAGACTCCTTCCTCATTACTTTCCCAACGAGAACAGAGCCTGTTATAACAACGACTACTCGCAAATTTCACCATATGACTAAAGAAAAATTTGAAGATCCAGAAACTATGACATATAAGAGGAAGAATACAAAATCAAAGTTTGGATGGATCGACTACGACCAAGAGGAGAATGTAAGTAAGCTGGTACAAAGAAAATCTGCAGTAAGAACCACGATTACCACTAATACTCCGAAAAAACAAACGGACGTGAACGATATCAGCAGTATAACTGAAGAGATCATGGACGAAACAAGCAAGAAGCACTTTAGTAAAATGCTACCGAGTTCAGTGTTTGATAAATTGAATTTGATGCATTCGAACGAATACGGAACCAAAAAATCTGAGATAGGCTCTGAATCGAAGGAGATTGAGCAAGAAGATACGTACGTGAACGACATATTCCCGTCGTATTTTACATAATTTTTATTTAATGTTTTAAACAATACACTCTTAATAACGTAGTTAGTTGTTATATTATTATTTAGTTGTAGTGGTTGTGGTGTAAATGATTTTTGATTCATCAGAGATGTAATGTAATTAATGTCTATGGAATGAAAATCGGATCACATGCAAGTTAATATTTCTTCTACAACTTACTTTTTTCAACCTGTAGAAATTTAAGTTTTAAAAATTTCTGAAATAATTTAAAAATGTCGAAATTATTGAAAAACATTAATTTAATATAATTAAAATATAGTCATTGTCTCTGCAGTTATGCAATATTGTAAAAATAAAATAACGATACTGGGAGTACTAAATATTTACAGAATTATGTTTTCTGTACTAGCCGAACTAAAATAAAATAATATATAGAATTTTCTATAATGTGATGATTTATAGTATTAAGCATGAATAAAATTATTAAAAACTTACCTCAAGTTTTATTACCTTTGTGGTTGCCAGATCTGGCTAGGGTTGCCCACGTCTAAAATCCCTCACACCCCCACATCATCTAATCGCGACAAAGCCTGTCGTTATACACTGAGCGTAAAATCTCGAACAGAGTGCACGTGGGACATAAACAAAATGGAATTTATAAGCACCATCGAGCGTCATTGGCTTTATTTTTCCACTGAATTGTATTGATCTAGTCTTCTGATTTAATGAACGGAGATGTGCACGAGGTCCAAGGTTCATCGGATGACTTCAATACTAAGTTAGGTGCAACCTTCCAGTTCATTAAAGTGAATGCTAACTTTTAAATTAAAAAGGAGTACGCTTAATATTTTTTCTTAAATTATTTTTAAGGCATTTAAACTACAGTACCCGGAGGACCGAGCTTTGCTCGGTTTGTTTTTTTTTTGGTAAATCGTGTATTTTGAAAATTACATTTAGATACAAATTACTGAGTAATGAAATATGGATAATATTTTTGGATCTTACCGACGTAATAATAAGAAAATACGAACTGATGTTTTTTACAAAAGAAAGAACTTAAAAAAAAGGGAAAAAAATTACAAAATAACAAATCGACAAAAAATTAAAAATAAAGAAAGTTATGATCTGGAATCGAAAAAAAAGTAAAAAATAAATGTGTAAATATGATCGGGACGCGAACCACGGCTGTCTGTTTTGGGACCGCCCGATTACCGACCGAGCTATTATAACATTTTCTCTTGCGGCGAAATTTACCGTCATATTCGAATAATATTTTTCATTCCCTGAAAACAGGGATAAAAGGACATTTTCTAAAAATGAAACCTAGCTAGATCGATTTTTCGCCCCCGAACCTATGCACATACAAAATTTCATGAAAATCGCTGGAGCCGTTTCCGAAATTCCGATTATATATTTTTTATAATTTCCCGCATTTGTCTTCACATTACTTAATAAAATTATTTTACGGACTTTATCGTGTTTTATTACGTCGACGTAATTTGACGTCCGAAAGTAAAGTAAGAAGTAAAGTAACAGCCTATACATGTCGCACTGCTGGGCAAAGGCCTCCTCTATACAGAGAGTATCAGGGCATAGTCCACCACGCGGCCCCACTACGGATTGACGGACTTCACATATCTTCGAAAAATATTTTTTTTTTGTTATTGTTTCGAAAATATGCAGGTTTCCTCACGATGTTTTCCTTCACCGCGGAGCACGTGATAAGTCAGCACTTAAAGTTAAAAACTTCACCGGGGATCGAACTCAGGTTGCTCGAGTATATTGAATTAAAGGCGAGCGCCCGGACACTGAGCTATCACGGCTTAACGTATGACGTCCGAAAAACTAAGGGAATCAATACTCTTGCGATGGTGTTCATATGTGTACTGTGGTAGGGCCACGCAAGTCTTCGCTGTTGCACAAATGGGCAGGTCCGTCTGGGTAAGTACAACGACCTCACAGAAGATCGGCGGAAAGTAGAAGTCTTATACTTCTGCGTTTCGTCTGGTGAATGAGGTAGCGGGCCCATTTTGCTATAAGGTGGCAACGTATCTGCAATCTTCTGGGTGATGCTTATGTCAATGGGCGGCGGTTGGTACTTAACACCAGTTGAAACGTCAGTTCGTTTGCCACCTTCTAACATAAAAATAAAACTTAACTGATGTTAATATTTGATTTTTGGATGATTCTTAATTTCCGTAATGAACTATCAGGAGTAATTATATGTTTGCAAGGATTTGGAGTATATCAAATGTTATGTAACGATTAGGGCGATTTAAATTATATTTAAAAGACAGCTGACGAGGTATTGATTTATTCGAAACTGGCCAGCACTTGACTCCCATCCCGCCTGATGTTAAGTGGCGATGCAGTCGTTGATGCTAAACACTTTATCTCAGTAAAAGCCTATTCACTCTTGTCTTGAAGATGCCAAAGTTATAATCCGACGGTATGATTCATTAAGTTGTTACTGGTACATTAATAAATCGGGTAATCATGAGCGACGGTAATCATTTACTATCGTTTAATCTCTCGCTCTGTATTCATTTTATAATTAATTTTTAGGAGTTCCCTAAGTATCTCCGGAGTCCAAGATCCAATACCAATGAGGCACCAGCTTTCCAATAAAATAAAGAATCATCAAAATCGGATCACTCAGTTGAAAGTTCCGGTAACAAACATAAAAAATACACATTTTAATAAAAAATACAGTCGAATTGAGGACCTCCTCCTTTTTTGAAGTCGGTTGTAAAGACAAAACTCTAGTTAATTCACGACGGAAAGATGCAAACTGTGAAACCGGCAACCGTCCCTTAATCCGGCCACATGTTAATTGCGGCAAACACTTGTGCAAGCGACGTTGTAACGTTCCGCGCTGCCGGCGCGAGCGTCGTCCGCCCGTTGCACCTTTCTGCAGTTTCCAATCACAGCGTAATCGCTGCGTAATTGTTCATCACAGTCCGCAATTACAGCTGAACTAACTGTGAACGTAACGTACCAAGATATCTAGAAAGTATACAGTTGCCCAGGCTAGATACTAAGATATCTAGAAAATGCATAGGTGCCTCTAGACTGGGTCAGTTGGGAATTAGATTAGATTAGATAGATTGTGTTGATCGTAAATTCTTGGAACAACACTAGTTGAATTTGATCTTTTATAACAAAAGACGGCTGTGGACAAAATTCATAAGAAAGCAAAATAAGTATAATCAGAGGAAGACCCACATGGAAATTCCGCTTTGAAAGCTGTTTACAAGTCCGAAATGACAAATAAGGTTGCATGATAAGTTACTATGTACATTTTCTGAGAGATGATTCACAAATAAAAAGTATTATCATCTCTGGAACCAATTAGCCCGTTATGTCATATTTAAATAAGTTATAAAGCTCATCAATGTGAAAATCGTGTGATTAAGAACCCAGTTATTGTAATATTAAACGCATGGGAATAAAGTGTTCATTTAAGCGTCGTAAAACAATCAATATAACAAACTAATAAAGCATTTGCTGACGTCGTATCCCACTTTATTCTTTTATTCTATTTTTTTTTAAAACTATCTGTGGGTCACACAAATGGTTGTGCCGTGTGCGAACCCACGAGCCCCGACGTCGAAGCCAATACCTCGGTAACTGCGTCACGGAGTCATTTACTGGATCAAATGGTTTTACATAAAGAGCCGTGATAGATTAGTCTCCGGGCGCTCGTTAATTCAATTTACTCGAGTAACCTGAGTTCAATTCTTGGTGCCAGCACCAATGAAATTGTTTAATAAAATTTTAGGTATTTTGACAATCAATAAGTGAAATGCTTTTATATTTTTTATTTATGTAAGAAGATGGCAGGCGAGCTGGTGGTTCACCTGATGTTAATTGATAACCACCGCAACTGCCTATTGACATTTGAAACACCCATAGGGTTACAAATGCGTTGTCACCTTATAACAAAGTGGGGCCCGGCTACCTCACTCAACAACAAAACGCAGAAGTATGACACGTCCACTTCACGCCGGTCTTCTGTAAGGTCGTGGTACTTCCCTGGATGGAACTGCCTATTGGTACAACAGCGAAGACTGCTTCGTGGCCTTACTACAGTAAAGATGAAATATTGAATAAAGATATTTGGATTTGAATTTAAGTGCTGAATTATCACGTACTCAGCGGTGAAGGCAAACATTGTGTGGAAACCTGTATATTTCCGAAATAATAACGAAAATAAATGACAAGAGAGTTGAACGATGAACATAATTATTATTTATGGCAATGCAATAGCAATTTGAAACAAAAATGTACAAAACTGGAGAAGAGATTTGCCCATACTGTAAAGTATCATTGCCAATGTGACACGATTTCGATTGTTATAAAATCTTCGCGTGTTGCAACCGCCTGACAATATCGACGTTGCGGGTAACATTTCGCGGTGAGCGTAGACTTTTGATAAAATTTCATCTAGTGCATGTAACACGTGATCTGAGCGTGTTTGTCAATAATGGTATTTGAAATCAGTTTGCTTTAGAGCGAACAGTTCAAGTTTTACCTTGTTCAGTACAGTTTACGGTAGTTTATACAAGCTGCACTTGCCAAGTTTGCACGGGACTACTCGATAACTGCTAACATAGCAACCCAGCAACAGGTTTACGAATAGACCAGCACGGATGAGGAACATCGTCTTACACAAGACCGTTCTGAAGTACGTCTCGTTACGGGAGATTACTAACCTCAGGCCCTGATCTCAGTTGAACATCTCTGGTATTATGAATGTCCACAGGCGATTATCGTTCGCCACTATTCGACTACTGGCTTGTATCAAAGACGCGTTCTTTTTATATGCAGGTTCAGATGTACAATTTAGCTCTGCATGTGCTCAGGGATTGAAGTTCCGTGAAGTTTGAACATTGAACATATAAAAAAATGGAGGTAACTAGTTGGCCGGTTGAAATTGTCGCAAATTAAAGCGATACGTTTCAGAATGTTACTGCAATAATGTAGTAAGTAGGTTATAAAATGAAGTAAATAAAAACAAATTGTCAATAGATTGCATT